ACCAGAGCTTTTGTCTCAGTGAAGACAGGGTGGGAAAAGGGTAGCAAGCAGGGTTGCCGATTGTCATCATATTCCTCTCAGACAGAAAGAACCAAAAGCAAATGTATTTTTGAATCACATCAAGTTTGAGTCTCCTACCCTTGCAGCTGCTGGCTGACCCATTCTGTGTTGTGGCAGCACTTGTGTAGAGGAGAATACACTTTGATTACTTTTAAAGCTCTTTTATGGATCCATGATGGTATAATTTTAATTGTTTTAGATGAAGTTCCATCTATCCCAGTACCCCAGCTAAGAATTGCTGGTATTTTTTTTAGCACAGCTGTTGCTAAACAAGTTTCAGAATGCTTTCTCCACATGCTAGACAGACTTTCTACTAACTTTCAGACAGAAGACATCAGGATAAGGAGACAAAGAACTGAGGCAGACTCCACCAGCACACTGTTGTGGGAAAAATACATGCTGTCCACACTGCCCATGGTAACGACGCTTGAGCTCCACTGGCAGCAGCAATCACATTTAGTACAGCTGTATTTCCATTACACAGAGAGCCTTCACTCCAGAATTTATGTACAGTTAAATCGGATTATTTTTCTTCCCCATTTCTGCCTGACAAACTGTACTTGCTAGGCTCTTGGCTAGAAATCCATGCTAATCAACTTAAAGCACAATTCTTTTTATTCTGTGTTGTCAGCAAACCACATGTCATGACTTTACTCAAGTCTCCACTAACTCAGGTCACTGCTATCTTCTCAAAATCCAGGAAGAAATAACAGGAACAGGAAAAAGTTACAGTCTGAATGAAGACAGAAGATGCCAGTGGAGCTGCTCACTGGACTAGTATGGAGTGTGAGTGACATAGGGAGGCCAGGGCTCCAAGCAATGATTATGCAAATGTGTTTGCTGATGGGTTTTATCTGCCTACATGCAAGTGATGGTTTATTTTAATCACAGAACGATGTTCCCAGTATCAAACAAACTAAACATTCAGCTACTGCCAGATTATTAAGTCAATGGTAGGAGAGGTATTGATTTTGCAGCATAATGATCTTACATTTTCACCTAATGTCTTTCAGGTGTAATTGTCCCTAAGGCACATCACAAGCAATGGTAAAAGCACTTCAGGATTGAAATACCGCAGCCGCCAGAAAGGACATTCCACCATTTAAGGGGGTGCAAACATCAGAAAAGCAAAATGCACTCATTCCAGTCAGAATTCCCATAACATTCTGGACACGTTCAAAATACAACCATCTAGTTAGATTATGTATACCTTTATCTCAAACAACCACTTAAAACAGTGGATGTATGTATCGTGGAGTTTACCACATAGCTGGAGCAGTGAAAATAGCTGCACAAACAATCGCCTAATTAATGTGTAACTGCAAGCTTGGGATAAGACCTGGCTGTTCATAAAAGCAGCTTGTCAAGACATCAATTTTCTCTTTCCTTGGAAAGCTAATGTTTTACACAACAGTGTTCTCTGTAATCAAATTGTAGCTCCACATACATACTCAGGAGGCAAATGCAGCATCTGAGTCATGAAAATCACTACAATTTCCTCTGCTGTAACTCATACCCAAGTTTGGACCTGCAAACACCCATCTCAGCCAAAGATCAGAATTCAAATCCTATAATTATTACAGGTTTTCTGCACACATGCAAACAAAATATGTCGCTGCTTTGTGTCCCATGTTCTTGCTTGAATACAGAACAAACTTCCTGACATTTCAAGCATTTAAGGATAAAGTTCAACTGAATTTTAAAGAACTTTAAGGGTAATTAAGTAGTTTGCACTCAGTACCACGAAGTCTGGCCAGCATGCAACCGGGAGCAGCTGATGGGATGCTGTGCTGAGGCAGTGAGCAGCAGGAGGGAGGTGCCACTGCTGCAGGATGCACAGGTAGCTCTGAGGCCACGAGGGCTGGTAAGCAGCTTTGCATTCAGAAAGGAGAGTTCTGCCACCCCTGGTGCTCATTGCGAAGCTTGGCACAGCTCAGCTGAGCAGGACAGCTCTGCTTCCACTGTGCTGCAGATCTGGCACTGCTGCAACGGGACTGGCACAAGTGGTGCTGAGACTGTCATGCTGCTCACCTGGAAATGCAGTGCAGAGCAGAGAAGGCAAGGTGGGCTCGCCAGCTGGATGTGCGTTCTCTTCCCCAGCCCCACTGCAAACCTTCCCTCTGCAGAAGTACCCACGTGCATGCTCTTTGCTCTGAGTAAGCAACAACGGGTGAAGGGGGACAGCAGAAAAACCAAAACAGAAGAGGTTCAAAATGAGTCACATCCCACAGTCCTGGAAAACTGTGGTAAATGGCTTTCCACAGAAACATGCCTAGGATACAATCAACTTATCAAAACTTGAGCACAAATGCAGTGTGTATATGACATCCCATGAAGGGAACACAGTGGTTCCCACATGTGGAACCCACAAGTTTGCAGGTCTTAAGTGAGAGAATCAAAGGGACATGGCCAACCTCTTTTCAGTAGTCTAGTAGTCTGTGGGGACAGCACAAGGGAAAACAGCCATAAACTTGAGCATAGGAAGTTCCACACCAATGTGTGAAAAAACTTCTTCACAGTGAGGCTGATGGAGCGCTGGAACAGACTGCTCAGGGAGGTTGTGCAATCTCCTCTGGAGATATTCAAGACCTGCCCGGACACCTACTGGCTCAGCCTGCTGTAGGGAGCCTGCTTCGGCAGGTGGTTGGACTCAATGATCTCTAGAGGTCCCTTGCAACCCCTACAATTCTGTGATTCTGTGAATGGAGCTGAGCACCATGGACTTTTACCATAGAATCACAGAATGGCCTGGGTTGAAAAAGACCACAATGATCATCTAGTTTCAACCTCTCTCCTATATGCAGGGTCACCAACTACCAGACCAGGCTGCCCAGAGCCACATCCAGCCTGGCCCTGAATGCCTCCAGGGATGGGGCATCCACAGCCTCCTTGGCAACCTGTTCCAGTGCATCACCACCCTTTGTGTGAAAAAATTCCTTCCATTGTTTAACCTAAACCTTCCCCTTTGTCCTATCACTATCCTCCCACGTAAAAAGCTGTTCTCCTCCTGTTTATACAATCTCTTCAAGTATTGGAAGGCTACACTCAGATCTCCCTGGACCCTTCTCTTCTCCAAGCTAAACAAGCCCAGTTCCCTCAACCATTCTTCAGAGCACAGGTGCTCCAATCCTCTGATCATCTTAGCGGCTCTCCTGTGGACTCGCTCCAAGAACTCTGCATTTTTCTTCTCCCGGGGGCCCCAGGCCTGGACGCAGTGCTGCAGATGGGGCCTCACAAGAGCTGAGTAGAGGGGGACAATCACCTCCCTCTCCCTGCTGGCCACTCCTCTTTTAATGCAGAGCCCAGAACATAGCTGGCCTTCCGGGCTGCAAGCTCACTCTGCTGGCTCATGTCCAGCTTCTGGGCTGCTCTCAAGGAGATCTTCCCCCCGTCTGTGTAAATACCTGGGATTGCCCCAGCCCAAGTGCAACGCTTTGCGCTTGGCCTTGTTGAACTGCATTAGGTTCACATGTTCCCACTTCTCCAGCCTGTCCAGGTCCCTCTGGATGGCTTCCCTTCCCTCCAACATAGGGAAGTTCTTAACTTATCAAGTTAAAAAGAGCAAAAGAGAAGAGAAGCTGAGAAGAACATTGATCCTTTTCATTCTCAGAGGTGAAGTCTGTAATCAATCCTAAAAGCATTTGAAGGTAAGAGTATGGGCCTGGAACTAAATGTCCCCTTAAACCTATAAGACAAGTCACATTTCTTGTGAAGGAAGCTGCTTACCGCCTGAGCGCATTTGTAAGTTCAGCTGTCAGTTCACTTTCATTGTATGGTCTCAGCTCTGCCAGTGTTAACGGTGTTGCGGTGCCATCGCTGCATTCCTAAGAAATGAGTCAAGATCATATTTGAAGTTACTGTCTTAATGGGGGAACTCAGAAAACCTCTATCACAGCTACTTTTGAAATGGTGGTGAAATAAACATCACAGTGTTGTGAAACACAGCAGTGCATAAATATACCAAGAAATGGACCTGCTAATTAATGCCACACAGACTCTTCTAAACGACTTTTAAACCACTACAGTTCATCAATTTGCACAGTTCTAGTCTAGCATCTGTAACTGCTGATGCTTTGTATTGCTTTTTTTTACTCACACTTGAATCAAGTAATTCTTATGACGCTTTGCCCAATTAAGTGGGCAAATGCTTTACACAATTAAGTAAGGAAACAATTATGCACTACCTCCAGATTTTGTTTTAAAACACACTATTGAGTTTTTGTGCAGACACAGCACTAGAATGGAATTAAAATTTTTCTAGGTATCACTACTTCCTCATGCAAATTATTAATGTCAATGCAGAAATGTGTTTCTTTAATATTATACTAAATGGATAGAATGTAATAGTTCTCAAATCATTACAGACTGATTTGCAAAAAAAGGCTGTTGTTATAATGCTCTAATTGCTTCACAGGAATGGTATCTAATTTTTTTCCTGGTTAGCATTTGGGTGGGGGGTGGAGGGCAGTTTTTTGCTCTTCCACTGTAAGTTTCCAGTAAGTGGCAACAATTGAGACATAACACACTTAACCAGAATAGCCTGTGAAGAATGGCTTTGTTGTAATACTCCTTAAAAAGACAAAGTTATTTCTTCCAGGCTTAACAGTAATTCTGCGAAGTGTTCAGAAGTAACAGCATGTACAGAACCACCTAACAATCAGAGAACAGAGAAAGGACATGAACACACTAACAAAAGCAGAATGATTAACATGCTAAAGATTACTGTAGAGAAGTGGAAAACACAACAAATAATGCTTGTGCTGACTTTGGAACTTATTTTGACTCCTTACCTTTCCCAGTTTATCTTTGCTTCCACTGCTGGTTGAGCTGAGAGATCTCATTCTTTGCTCTTTTTGCTCTTCCACTTCAGACTTCAAGTGTTCAATATGGACAAGGTAAGCCTGTTCCTGGGCCTCTCGAGTGCTAAGCTTCAATTCCAATGCTTTCTTCTCTTTTTCCAGTAGGTAAAGTTGTGCCTTGAGCTCTGCCATCTCCTCCTGTTAAAGAAACATTATCTGAATGCTGTTTCATGGGACTGTATATCAAAAAGAAGATTATACCAAACAAAGCATTCAATCCTATTACTTGAGCGCTCTTTCCAGGAAGAACACTATCAGTATCCAGAAGAGTTTTTAAGAACAGCACATTCTCTTTGTCAGGTAGGCCATTATGTGTTACAAGTGAGTATCACAAGCTGTGCCATCCCCTATCAGACATGACTAAGATGCAACAGTTCAGATATCATGCTGCCTAGAGTACTGGCTATCTGAGAAGGTTTGCCAGATGCTGGAATTGCTTCAGTGCTACTATGTCCTTCATGTCCCTTCACGTCATCCTTCCTAAACACAGGACTTTCTGAGATCCTGATCAAACAGCCCTAAACCGCTGGACTAGGTGATCTTATAGGTCATTTCCAACCTTGTGATTCTATGATTCTATAAATGCCACCTTCCAATTTCTTGTCTATACATACAAATTACAGTTGGTTCATCTCATTGCAATGGTACCTGAAGGACTAGGACAGCAAACACAAATAACTGTTCCTGACTTACACCCAGCCTCTGTAGTACAACAAGTAGTCAACAAGGACAACAAAGTATGGCATCACCAGATCTATTTTTAATTTTCCTCCTCTAAATGGCCTAACTATTCACAACTGGAGGGCCACAAAGCTGCAGTTTTAAAAATTCTTCCATTAATATGATTCACAGAAGGTAGATTATGGTACCTCATAGAACAAAGTCCAATTCTGAAAGCTAGTTCACATACATACATCTACCATTCTGACAGGTCTGTCAATCATAGTAACACAACAACTACTATGTGGGGACAGCCTCTCTACTTGAACATCTACTCTGCCAGTGGCTGGGCAGCAGCATACGAACAAAGCATGAGTGAGCAGGGTTGAATGAAGTTCCAGCACTCACTCTTAACATCCCACAACTTGAAACTGATGGACTGTCTTAAACTAGAAGTCTCTTTGTGTTTAAAGTTTATTCCATGGAATGTCCAGTCATTATGAACTTTTGTAAACTTAGTATCCATAAAATGCTTACAAATACAATCCCAAAATATACACACAAAATCACACCATCTGACACACAAAACACCCCCAAAACAATAACTAGCAAGTTGGAACCACATTCTCATTATTAAAATATGGGAAGCTCTAGTTGACTTCACGTGTATTACAAGCTTCAATTTCTTTGCTGAAGTTCTGAACAAATTTGTTCACTTTGTAAACATTTCAGAAAAAAAGACAATTGTTGTATATCCACCTGAAAACAAATCACTACTTATTTTTCATACCAAAAAACATATTCTAGTCACAAGAATATCTGAGATGCCTTGTCTTACTCTTCAGAAGTATTTCTTGGTATGACATTTCTTATTAGCAAAGATTATGCAAACAATGCTGGAACATATTCAGACTAATCTTCTCTGAATAAGAGAATTTATGTTCCTAACAAAAATTCATTGTCTGCGTTAAATGTAGGCAGTGCATACAGGTACAGTACAGTTACAGAGAGCATACTATAACCGAAGCAATCTTAAGACTTCTTCAGAAATGTAAATCGTGCAAAAATAAAATCGGCATCCTAAAACTCCTCAATTTTTTCACTTACTTGTTTATGGATTGAAGTTTAGAAGCACAATCAGTTTCATTCTATGTGATCTGATTTGCAAAAATTTAGCTGTTAGGCAAACTTAACGTTAATTTCCCTGTCAATAGCAAAAAATATAAATAACAACTGATAAACAATGATGAGGCAAGTTAGTCATAGGAACTAAAATGGATTGTCTAATTGTATGTGCTTAGCTTTTTAATCCTTTATTTATAAAGCCATTAATCTACTTAGCCTGGTTAGTGAAGGCTGAGAAGTAATTTATGCAGATTATTCTGGCACTTACGTAAATATAAGATACTCTTGACAGAGGGTTACAGTCTACCTTCATGAGAAGGGCATGACAAAATATTCCAAGGCTAGAAGCTGAAGCTAAGCAATTCAGCCTAGAAGTAAGGGACATTTATGTTCTAAAAGAAAAAGGAGAATTTAACCTCTGGAATAATGGATCTATTGTACTTTATTCATCACTTAAAAGTTTCTATTTAAAGATGAGGTGTTTGCTTGCACTGTCTTCTAGCTCAGAATAAACATGAGGGCCAGTGGTGAGTTAACTACTTTGTTTATGAAGACAGTAAAACTAGATCATTATGTAGTCTCATATCATGAATAACCAAATTACCCTCCATGTATCAGGCTTCTCATATCAAGGCAACTGGACTTTGAAGAGGGAATGTGAAGACAAAGCAGGGGTAATGTGGAAGAACTGTTACCTATTCCCTTAGAGATTCTCTTGGGAAAGGAAAAAAAAATGGATGAGTGGGAAGGTTGATATTAAAGGCTAAAATAACTGCTGAGAATTCTGTTTTAGATATAGACTGTGAGGCAGGGTGATAACAAGTAATATTTCACGTTAAAAGAATTTAAGTAGATCAAGTTTATTTATGGAGTTAATTAGTCTTTACGTATGCAATAGTTTTTTTCAATGAAAATGTCTTCTAAGATAGCATCTAAATTTAATTTTATGACAGTATCACCTCTGCTTATCTACTACAGTGGGTTTTTTTGTTGTTGTTTTTGTTTAAATTACAGAATTCTAGTGAATTGTGTGCTTAACAGAATAGCCTCCTCAGAGCACGGACCTGAAGTACAAGTAGCATGTGAAAAACAAAACAACAAAGGATGAGATAGCCAGCAGTGATTCTTTCAGTCAACTGAAGAAGACTTCTGTGACCCATGTAACCTCACAAGCTTAAAGTGATCCTGACAATGTGAGCCTGATCTTGGTGCTACGGAAAGTTATGAAGCAAATCAACTTGGGTGAGATCACATGGGGGATCAGGCCCAGCCAGCATGAGTTCATGAAGGGCAGGCCATGCTTGACCAACCTCATCTCCTTCTACAATGGGTGATCAGACTGGTAGACAAGGGAAAGGCTGAAGATGTTGCCTACCTACACTTTAGCAAAGCCTTTGACACGGTCTCTCACAGTATTCTCCCGAGGAAACTGACTGCCTGTGGCATGGACAGGTTGTCATGGTTTTGTGATTTTTGGCTTTCGGTATTCCACATCATAACATCATGTGGGATTTTAACTGTCAATGCTCAAGTCCTGGGTACCTGCCCAGAAGAGAAGAACTACATTCCCCAGGAGACCTTGCGGTCAGGGAGAGGAGGTTTAACTCCTGGCAAGGTCGCCTGATGCGCTCTTTCTCGCCTGCCCTTCGTCGTGGGCGCTGCTCCCGTCTCCCTGCTGCTCAACTGGACTGCGCATCTCACCTCAGCGTTGTGATGAGGCCTATCCACCTTTCAGACATTCTCTCTCTCTCATTATATTTGATTTATTAGCTTCAATTCTGATTATATTGTATTATAATACATATATTATTATATATATTATTACATATATATTATATATTATATATATATTATATTATATATGTTTCATATATAGTATATATGTTATATATATATGTATATTATTATTACATATTATTATATATATTATTACATAATATATAATATATTACATATATTATTATATATATTGTATTATAATACATATATATACTATATATATGTATTAGTGTGTTATCTTGCATTCCGATAATATACTTAGTAAATTAGTTTGTTTCTCCTCAGATCAGTGCCGCTGTTTTAATTATTTTGGGGTCCCCTGTTTCCTTTTTTTCCGGAGGCGCGGATCTGTGGATCTCTCCGCCCCTCTCGTCATAGAACTGGGCTGAACCAGCCCGTAAACCGTTGACACAGGTATACCCTTCTTTGGGTAAGGAACTGGCTAGAGACCCGACCGGAAGTACTAAATGGAGTTACGTCCAGCTGGTGACCCATTACAAGTCATGTCCCCCAGGGGTTGGTACTGGGGCCCATCTTGATTGATATCTTTACTGATGACCTAGATGAAGAGATTGAACGTACCCTCAGTAAGTTTGCAGATGACACCAAGCTGGGAGGTGGTGTCGATCTGCCTGAGGGTAGGAAGGCCCTTCAGAGGGATCTAGATAAGCTGGAATGCTGGGCTGAAGTGAATGGAATCAGGTTCAACAAGATGAGGTGCCGGGTCCTGCACTTTGGCCACAGTAACCCCATTAAGTGCTACAGGCTTGGGGCAGAGTGGCTGGATGACTGTGAAGAGGAAAGGAACCTGGGGGTGTTGGTTGATGCTTGGCTGAACATGAGCCAAAAGTGTGCCCAGGTGGCCAAGAGGGCCAACAGCATCCTGGCCTGCATTAGAAATAGTGTGGCCAGCAGGAGCAGGGAGGTGATCATCCCCCTGTACTCAGCACTGGTGAGGCCATACCTTGAGTACTATGTTCAGTTTTGGGCTCCTCACTGCAAGAAAGACATTGAGGCCCTGGAATGTGTCCAGAGAAGGGTGAAGAAACTGGTGAGGGATCTGGAGCACAAGTCTTATGAGGAGAGGCTGAGGGAGCTGGGCTTGTTCAGTCTGGAGAAGAGGAGGCTCAGGGGAGACCTCATTGCACTCTACAACTTCCTGAAGGGAGGCTGTGATGAGGTGGTTTGGCCTCTTCTCCCAGGGAACAAACAGGACCTGAGGAAATGGCCACAAGTTGCACCAGGGGAGATTCAGACTAGACATGAGGAAAATCTTTTTGTCTCAGAGAGTGGTCAGGCACTGAAATGGCTGCCAAGGGAGGTGGTGGAGTCGCCATCACCGGCAGCGTTCAAGAGGCGTCTGGATGAGGAGCTGCGAGATGTGGTTTAGTAGCTTGTGGTAGCAATGGTAATGGGAGGATGGTTGGACTAGGTGATCTTGTAGGTCCTTTCCAACCTTGTGATTCCATGATTCTATGAAATACTGAGTACTTGCAGTTATATTTCAATTCTGAATTTGGGTGAAAACTAGAATGAAAATGAAGGACCCTTCATTTAATATAATCAGAACCACCACAACATTCCTAAAATTAAGATCTATGCTGGATGTGGTCATATCAGAAGAATAAAACAGCAAGGAAGTTCCAGAAGTCATGAAAAAAGACTCCAAGAGGACCATTGTACACAAGATGCAATCTTTCATAAACAGAACAAATATGTCCTTTGGAACGCAGAAGGACAGCAAGGACAAGAATTATTTACACCCATCAGAAGTAATCTCCTTGCTAACTGGGGCATAACAACTGACCTCAAAGCAAGACCCACTGAATAATTACAAACCGCAGACAAGAATGTATTTGGAAACATGGTTAATTACTGCTTGAAGCAAAGATCTGGATTTCACAGAAGCCCTGGTGGACCAATAAGTCTTATCTTCTGGATGAGTGAAAAATAAGGCAACAGAAGAACAGAATAAAATGTGAGGCTTCTTAACACCACCTCCAGCCTATCTTTTAATGGATCAGCTTCATCAGTGATAAATTAAAAAAAAAAGGTGTAAGGCATCTTCAGAGCACCATTACCATAATGCATAGATGTAAGAAGCAATGTAACTGGTTATCACTTTTTTCTTGGAGTCATAAATGAAGTGTCAAAAGGTATAGGATAAATGCTAACAAACACAAATTTCAAGAATAAGGCAGCAGGTCACAAGACCCAGCAGTGTCGGAAATACCTCAGTAGCTCTATCAAGCTGTACCTATCCTTGCTATGAATGCTGAAGGGAAGGAAGTTACTAAGAGAAGCTGTGTAAAAAGTCCATCTGCTTCAAGTTAAAGAAGAAAACAAATGCATATACTGTTCTGATTAAGCTTCATATTTCAAATACATACAAATAATATACTCTGCAGGCTGAGAAATTCATAGGCTTAGCTATGCTATAGTTTGCTAAACAGATGAGGAAGGTGTAATGCAACAGTCAGGAAAGCTAATAAGGTAGTACTTTCTTCTGAGACCAAAGGATACACAGTATAGCTCTGCCTTTGGGCCTCTTGTAATGTTTTACCCAAAGAAGAACTGGAAGTGTTTTCAATTTCTATGGTATGAAATGCCATCTACCATCAAATCCTTTCCAAGTTTTGACAACCTTCAGTTTTTTCACCACTTCCTTTTCAGGAAATTAAAGAAATTTTCTGCAATTGTGAATTCCAGCAAATTATAATCAATGAATAGTACTGTACCGCGCTCTCTCACAGAAAGGATTGAAGATTATTCCAGCTACGTAAGTAAATGTGTGCCTGCTGCAGCACAAACTGCACAGGAACAAAGATGACTTCTGGGGACATTTTCTGCATTAAAAACCCAATGTACTACATGCAGCACCAAGCTATGGGTGGACACACTATGTTAAAAGCATGGAGGGGAGATTCAGGTTAGATGTTAGGAGGAAATCCTTCACACAGAGGGTAGTGAGGCATTGCCCAGAGAAAGTGTGAATGTCCCATCCTTCAAGTTGCTCAAGGCCAGGTTGGATGGGGCTTTGGGTGCCCACTCAACCGTTTGGTTGAGTCGCAATCCTGCCCATGGCATGGGGTTGACTGGATGGGCTTTATGGTCCCCTCCAACCCAAGACAGTCTGTGATTCTATAATTACCTTTTAGTTTGCCTCTCTCCATTTTTGAAGCCAATATGGAAACCAAGTTTAAAATTACATAAACTGTATACCTGGTGAATAAAGGCCAGTTTGTCTAGATCCTATTTTTAGAACTGCACACACAAACCAGGCCTGCAATATGAGTTCTCCTAAAATCTCTGTTCCTGTTTGTCATTACAACACCCACTCTTTGCTCTAGCTCTAACACAAATTACAAATTCCAACACACTGCCTAGAACAGCTCTGGAATTCTGACTGCTTGAAACCACTATGGATGAGTTTTTTTACAGACCATTCTTCCACCCACAGCAGTATTAAAAGGAGGTGAATTTGTTTTGCTCGAATTCACAAACATTCAAGATGAACATTTGCATGCTTGTAAGTGGCGAACAGCCTCTTGGGAAGTGCTGTATCATGCTTTTTGGTCACCCTCAAGCAACTCAGCTGCTGTATCTCTTAGAAAAAGCATCTGGTTTGTCAAGGAGAGCATTTGAAGAGTAAAGCCACGGATGAGATTTTTGCCTAATTCAAAACACACATAGCCAATGCACTGCCTTCTGTCACTGTTTTACTACTGGATTTTTGGCTTTGATTATTCACTTCAACTAAGTAACCCTTTATTACCCAGCAATCACTATCAATGCCTCCCATATGGATGACATTCTTAGCATTCTTAGCACAATGACTTTGTCAGCACTGTCAGTCTGTTGCATACAATTAAATTACCTTCATAGCCATAAGTTCCTGCATCAAGACCGCATTTTCTAGGTCTAACCTCTGGCTGTCTCCACGAGGTTTAACATCATAACTAAGGGGATCAATGTGAATACTCTCCAGCTCCAGCATTGTTAGTTTCACTGCTGCTCTGTCATTTTTCAACTGCTGGATGTAATCCTTCAGTCGCTGCTCATCCTCCTTTGTAAACTCCGTATCACAGCTGCTTGCAGTTGAGCTTGTAGTACTAGAAATAGAAATAATAGTATTAAAAAAAATTGGAACACATTTTGTATTTTTCTATCAAACACTCTTTAAATACTTCATGAACACAACTGAGTCTTTCTTATAAGTTCACAGAAAGGACATAAGTAAAGTGGAGTGGGCGTTGCAATATTTAGAAGATGCAGAGGGGTGTGACAAATTCAGAAAAGAAATTAATTCTCTAAGCTGCATAAAAAAATCAGTTTCTCTGCAAAGCAGGATCGTTCGTAATGTGTAACTGCATTACTGTTTATGGAATGTTGTCTTCTGAAACAAGTCTTTTTAACAAAAAAAAATAAAGCTCTTTAGATTTCTTAGCAATACACTAGCAGGTCAAGTTTTTCTCTGCTGCTCTGCCACTAATTCTTCATCTTTGTGAAAAAGCATCAGCTAACAAGAAAGTATCAGCCTGCTCCTCATTTTTATCTGCTGATGGCAATACCAGTTACTATCTCATATTTCTTAATGGACAGTTATAGAAATCAATCCAAAAAAAAAAAAAAAAACCAACCAACCACTGGCAGCTATCAGATGGTAGCATCTTTCAATTTATGCTAAGATAGATTGACTATACTGTATACAGACATTCCTTCAGGTCCAGGGGGGTTTAAAACCAACCCATAATTTAGCTGGATTTTAACTAAAAAGACATCATCAGCCTTGTCAGAACTGTTTTTTTCTGTGGGCGCAGTTTCAAACAAATGACTGCCCATTAGTCTGCCCCACAAATGTTTACAAAGAGAATGCAGATAAGGAAAACTAATGTCTTGTTAAGGATGAGGGTGGCTTAGTGCTGCCTTCTCACCTACATGCATGCCAGTGCTGCAGGGGGCTGAGACTGATACAGCTTTAGAATTTCCAGGGCTGAATATGGTTGCAATAACACTTAAAGGAGAATAAAACGCTGTGTTGTTTCTATAACCTCACTCAAAGCTGCCCGCTGTCTCCTGAGGTCCTGTAATTATCTGTTGGCTGAGGGATAAGTCATCCATTAACTGTGCTTGTCTGGAATGCTAGATGATCTCAGTTATCAGCAGGGGAATAAATCACTTTCTGTATCAAATTGCATTGCTGTTCAACATTTCTGTAGGAGGAAAAAAAGCCCCACCCGCCACATGCTGTGAGACTCAGGATGATGTCCTACCATGTATTACACATGTGAAAATTGGGAAGCCTATCAAGATAGACTTTTTTTTTCTCTTTTTTTTTTTTTTTTTTCAGTTCTACTTTAACTATAGCTGCAATGATTCTTAAGTGCCTCCAATAATTCCCAATTTTTCCATACAGTCCAACCATGATCTTGGAGGAGACAGAGTTGGCAGATCTACAAAGATTTCTCAAAACCTTCCCCCCTCATGAAATACTGCATTATATTTCTTTTCCACAGTTCTCTACTACCCATTATGCCTTCTTTTTCTTACAAGTGCCATATTTTCCACAGTACTAGTAAACTGGTCTTTTGTTTTCACCCATTTCCATCTGCAGTAAAGCACGAAACACCCAGCACTTAAACTGCATAGAAACTTTCAGGTTGGAAGAAATTTTTACTTGCCCTTCATTAGAGAATCTCTACTCATAAATCTCAGTTTACTGAGCCTACTGGCACCCCTCTGAAGTAGGCGCTGATGTAAAAATCATGGAGGTAGGTAACATGAGAAATATTTAATTCTATACTGAAGCCATGTTGCAAGTTTCCTCAACATCTAAAGACAGCAATTATACAGCTCTCCTGAATTAAATGTAAAACAGCTGTTACCAAAGAAAGGACAGCTTTGAGAGTCCACTCAGGCTTCAAACCTTGGGACAAAAATTGCTCATCTTAGTTTTCACTTGCCAAGGAGAAAAAGCCTAGTCTGCTGCTGGGAATGAAAAACAAGCAAAAATGCTGATAAGTCTGTCGTTACGTTGTGCTGAAACTCAAACTTGCAAGATATTCAGATTTTGGCTCTTAAAGATCTACAGCTATGCAAGTCCATCCAAACCAGGGAAGGCAGTCTGGGTTGCTGCCAGTGATACTCAGGCTGCTTTTACTTCAGTCCTGGCTGGCTGCCTGCCTGCCTGCAGCTGAGCTGGCTCCTCTGAGCAAGGTCTTTTTTTTTTTTTTTTTAATAAATAAGATGGAGGGAAGTTCAATGGGGACACTGTCTCAGACAGCAGAAGAAAGGACAAGAACGTTCTTTCCCTCTCTCCCAGCATTCAGCAACCAGCCCCCACCCAGAAATGGGCAGTAGAATGGACAGCAGAAAGGCAGGGTGCAGAGCCCACTTTGAACAGCTGCAGAATCAAGACAGTGTGATGAGCCATTCAACACCACCACAGTCTTTGTGAACTCCCATAGCACAGCTCTGCCAGCTCTGCCTCAAAAGCCCTACCCTAAATCTTTCCACAGCCGCAGTGATAGTCCATTGGTGCTCTGTTTAAGCTGGTAAGCACATGATCCAGAATTTCAGACACTGCTCTCCTTTTTAATGGCAGCTGGGTGAAAGGAAATCAGACTGACAGAATGTAGGCTAGCATGGTACAACGTGCAGTTTTATTTGCCTGTGCGAGTGTTTGTTCATGAGCATGTGTGTGAATCAAAGGCTGTATCTGGATATAAATGAGTCTTCCGAAAGTGTCACTGAGTAAATTACATATATCGCAGAATTTTGTCAATAAAAGCCTGTAAAACATTCAGTTAATCTATTAAAAGTCAAATCAATACAAGGCTGACAGAACAAAAAGAACAGAGTCAGTACTGAACAACTGCACTTTAAATAATGTATCTGATGGGCACAAACTACACATGAGAGAACTGTCTTCTACACAAATCCTATGACTTGAGATCTGAGACACCACAATGCTGAAAGACAATAACTTCAAGAGAGACTGAAAAACAGTACAACCAGCCAAAATACAAACAGCCTGTTTGGCTAAGTTCAGAACCTTTGGTAAAACCACCCTCATTCCTGAGACTACTTCAGTCTAGCAATGAAGTATAAGATACATGTTAGAATATTTTAAAGTAATTTATTCCCACACTTCAGCCAAGATAATCCTGTATGTCAGTTACTAATCTGAGATCCCACGGGACTCCGATGAGCGATACAGTCCTGTGTTTGGCTATGGTCAGGTACTCTGTGACACTACATAATACTAACCAGAATTCCCTTTGCATACAAGACAGCGGATCTTCCCTGTCATTAATCCAGGTGTAAGGCTGGGGTTACTGACATAACAGGGAATTAAAACCCTCCAATTTAATTTAGCATTACAATTGCTGCTCTTTCATTCTGTTTCATTCTTTTCCAGGCTGCAGTCAAACCTCACTGATAACGTATGCCCCACAATTTGGTTCTGTCCATTCAAGTAATTACAACTTCAAACTACACCACAGACTACTTCTATTTCCAAAAATTAATTGACAACATTGTCATGCTGCTGCCAGTCGAATACACTGAGATGCTTGCCATTATTTTTGTTCATTTCACCAATGTCAACCTCTGCAGTGACATTTCATTTCATTTCAGCTGCTCCCTTTTGCAATTGTTAACCACTTGTCATCATTGGCTCCCCTAGCATTTTCTCTCAGTACTGTGTTCAGTGATTTGACATTCAGAATCACATTTGAAATGCCAAACTAAAGATGGGTCAACACTTTCACAAGTTTCTATTCTGTAGGATTTCAAAGAATAGAGAGAATTCTTCATCTGTCGCGACTCTCAGTGAAGGAGGGCTTCCATCCCTTTACTCCCTCTACTCTATTGTTACAAAGGAAAAAGGGAACAGCACGCATTCACAACTAAAAGCCGGTAGTACTAAAACAGTTACAGCAAAAGAACAGTCTCGCAGATTCAGAGTGAACCACATTATCTAAAAATGTTTTCACTTAAATGCAGTGGCTCCTGAATGTCAATTCACAGAGCCCTCACAGACACTGCTTTATAGATTGGTAAATTCTTTAAGACAAATACAAATATTAAGCAGACAAGAACAGCTAGAAATCCAGAATCTGCCTTCCTATCTTTGTCTGGATTATTTACTACCGCAGTGGAAAAATAAAGGAAATGTGAAACATCAACGATGAAGAATGAGACACTTGGAGGTCTGTGGCAATAGGATGTCTGTCTACAGTAGCGGAGACCAGAGACAAGAGGACACATACAGATGGATTAAGAAAGTTACAACACAGGCAGTAAAACACTGAAAAACATGCACAGGGTCCTGGAAAAAAAGAAAAAAGGGATCCAGAATGACAGGGAGAGGACAGTTAAAATCTTTAAGTTTTAAATCTGAGACAGAGCACTTACTGATGTAAGTACAGAAAAAGTGAGTGCCTTCTGAAAGAGTATACAACTTCCACCTGCCACAAAGGTATCTGTAAGCTGAAGAGTGATTCTTCTCATTTAAGATAGGGTCCATGGGAGGGAAAAATCTCAAAACATCTCTATCATGTATCACTTGAACACAACAGAAGGAAAGAAGATTTGTATTTCATGCAGGAGCTAGGGTTTCAGAAATGTTTTCACTGCATTTAGACAAGAAAAATTACACTGGAAGCAGTGGGAGGTGGGAAGGGCAAAAATATGCAGGTTATCATCAGATCAGCGTGTCCATATGAACGTCCCCCTTTGATTCTGGAAACTGTAAACTGTTAAAAAAAACAACCAAGCATATATGCTTCGAATTCATATCAGACATCTCACAAGGAAAGGAAACACTGAAATAGTTATGAAAAAAAGAAAACCTTTTCAATTACTAGAGTGGTAAAGAGGATCAACTTGAGTAGAGGTGCTGCATGTAGGACCACTTAGAACACATTCACAGGTAGCTGCAGAGACAGCATAAGTGCACACAGGAAATAAGATCCTCTAGAGAAGGCATTGGCAAAAAGAGAAAATGATATAGTACTAAAATAAACTTCTAAAAGTGTCAAAAAATGATAGCATTTGAATGAAGAATTGGCTCAAAAGCTGATTTAAAGTAAAGTTTCAGAGTGAATCTGAGAAACCAAAAAAACTTAGAAGGAAAAATGTTCATCTACAGTTATTCAGGATGTTTGCCAAATTTGTATCCATAAATGTGCACACATTTACTGCACAGAGTAAACTACACTGCAGGCAGGCAACAACTCAAAACGAAGCTGTTAGCAGACGTATTTGAGCTGGAACATTGATGCAATAATAATGAAGCTCATTTAAGTTTCACAGTTTCTTAGTTCTTCAGAAAAACTGAATCATCCTGCCCTTTTCTGGAAGATTTTACTGTCACTTATGATGCTTATTTGTAACTTGACTTGCAGTGAAGGAGGAATTTTGAGTAGGTCAAAGGAAAACGAGAAGACAGAGAAAATATTTCAGAATGAAATGGCTAGAATTGCAACATTCACGAATTAGCAGCTGAACATTCCAGAATTTCAATCGAAGAGAGATTCTGATCTTTGCCTCCATATATGTGTGCTGTCTGCATACAACACATATGAACAAGAATTACACAATCCAAATTCAAAATTTTAAATAATAAATAAATTCAAATATAATATATATTTGATAAGTTCAATAAATTCAAAAATTTATTTGAATCCAAATTCAAATAAAGCAATAAGAAAGTAACTGAAGTAAAACACACACAACGCTTTTGCACTTTATGAGGAATATCTAAGTTCCAAATAATCAATTTGCAACAAATTTATACAAAACCTTCTTGGCTGCAGTTGCTGAAAGTATGAAGACAATTAGATCAGTGGTCATGGTCAAGTCACGGTGACTTGAAAAATAAAGCAAAGAACTCAGCAGACTGAGGTGAAGAAGGTAGTTTAACAAATACAATAAAAATAATGTTTGCTCTGAGATCACATTCTTGGAGGGCAGGAAAGCAGATAAGCTGTAAGTTACCTCGTGTGGCTGTTGGATGAGAGGCTTTCCCAAGGCTGCACACTACAGCCAGTGACTGCATAGGCTCCCCCGCAACTCCCATCCAGTTTCATCAGCAAGGCTTTTGCTGCGTTCTCAGCTGTCTTCCTGCAGTCATGAGCTCTCTTAAGCATTTGGGTGATGTTTTCATCACCTGTCTGGTCACCTAGTTTTAAACAAACAGTCTGTTTTAGAGGTTTGAGTGAAAAGCTTGATAAAAATTACAGCAATAGAGTTGCTTTGATGCATTCTCAGTGTACTAACAAGACAGTGATTACAAATTATCCATCTGTAAAGTGAAAGCAAGCTTCATTTCTGTGTGAGCATCAGTTGTAACTGACCTTCTGGCCTGAATCTGTCTTCCTACTAGCCACAAGCTCCAAGTACTTGCTGCTGCAGGTACATGTTTTAAGTAGAGTTTTACCTTAACTAGCTCAAAAGTTTGTAAGGGCATGCAGATCAGGATCAGGTTAAGAATCATTCTGTGATTCTATGAGGATGCTCAAGTTAGTAACAGAATGGGAAAGCACAAAGCTAAACTACAACTCCTACTCCAAACAGTCCAATGCTGTGTCACAGCACAGTTATTTTCAGTGCCTTTTCTCACAAGCACCTTAATGTCAAGCCTAATGGGTTTGCCAGACCACATTCATACAGGTTCCCTTTCCACCTGGAATGATTGCTTTATTTTCTACAAGCAGCCTTTCAGGGTGCAAAGCCACACATACTAATCCAAGAGAAAATAAGCACTGCTATTCATTGATTTGCTATAATTTCTCTTGACTGTGCAACTGTTAAGCCATCGCTTCAGCAGAGGCAGGACAGAAATCAGAGCAGACAAAACTCTTGTAGTCCTAACTGCAGCTAGAGTCAAGTCAGTAAAGCAGGACAACCTCATAGCTACTCTGGCATTTTGACCAAAGCTAGTATATACCCATACTTACATACAATGCAAAGACGCCATAACTATCAAACAAAAACAGCCTGCTCTATCTCAGACTTTGACCTCATCCTGATTTGAGTCAAATAATCATACTTGCTAAGCAAAATGCATGCAGTACGATAACTTTAATGCAGAAGAACAGGATTGAGAAAGTCCCATTAAGAGCAGCTGGGTACATAAACCAAAATTGCCCTCCTCCAAAACTGCGTTATATAGCATGCAATCAGTGCTATTTCTATCATGGCACTGTAACGGATAACACTATAACTAAGAGCTGTAGGCAAACACATATGTAAAAATTAGCAACATTCTGTTTCACAAACTGTATATAAAATGATACCCTACTCAAACCTAAAATATTTATCTTTTCTAAGATTTATATCTTCTGTGTGAGTAGGAAATCCACAACTTTTGCTGGCCACTTATCTTTCATCAAGAGTGTGGAATGACCAGACACTGGGAATAAAATGGATGAAAAACAAAGACATCAACTGCATGGTTTACTGCAACACAGAAACACAGAGGCAGCGCAGGCAAAGTCAGCTGTACAGAGGTCTACTGGTAGCACTAGAGGAGATACAAAATAAGCTGAATGTTTAATAGCAGGGTGACAGACGAGTGCATCCAGCTTTCCAAAACAAGAGGCTGTACTCATCAGTCCTGTGCCTCTAAAGCCAGATGGTCACTTCATTCCTAAAAGCCTCTGGTTTACGTTTCAGTGATTTTTTAGAAGCCAGCACTATAAACTACTGTCTCATGCACGCATTTACTATGCTTCAGCAAAGCAAGCAAAGTTATTCTTTTCTATCCAAGGGTTTCTCTTTCTACTCAAAGATAACTAGTTATCTTCTCCTACTGTAACAGGAATGAGACTGTAAAACACACATTACCATTCATTGTGTAAAGATCTCTTACCATCAGTAAAATGAAGGTAACACTAACATCAAATTTCAAACACTTCTGAACAGTACCGTAAAAAAAGTCTCACTCTATTATTCAGAGAACAGCATGTTAAAAAAAAACCTTCACCCACTCTCAGGATTAGCTGTACGCAGAGTAAGTAAACCTCACATTGTAAGAGCTAATATTCTAGACAACACAGTAAAACATAAGGTATAAAACTTAAAAAATTCAGAGCAAAGGTAAAACACAGAATGAAAAACTAGAGCTTTTTTTTTTTATGATTACTAAATGCTACTTCTGTAACTCCAACTTTAAATTAATTACACCAACTTTGGGTTCAACATGTAGCGCAAACAAAATCTGTACTTGTAGTTACCACAGTTGCATGACTTTAATTCACATATGCTTAAAAGTAACACTTAATTATTTCACTCTGTACAGCTGCATGATTGCAGCAGCATCACCACTGCCAGAATAGGCATCCCCAGTGACAACACACACAATCCAATTTATATATGCATATATGTATGTAAGTATGTATATACGTATGTATGTATACATATATATAAAAATAATTAAATGTTGAAAGCTGATTTCACTCCAGGCTCTCTTTTTCTTTTTCCCTATTCTCTGGATGTGTAAAATTAATTACTTAGTCAAAAACAAGAAAAGGCCAGATAGCATTCCTAAGTGGTGGGTCATGAGATGACCCACTGTGGCAGCTAACTTCAATGCTAATGAATACAGAAAAAAAGTAATGAAATGACTCATTGAAATCTTACCAACAGAACCAACTCCTGCAGCTCTGAACTGCTCAAGAATGAGACTTTGCTCACTTTCTGCCAATGCCAACAGCAGCTCATATGCTTCTATGCACTGTTCACTGAAAAAGAAAAACACAGGAAAAAAGATGCTTGCAACCAGTAACAAAAAAAAAGGTAGCTAATGGATTACATGATTCCTGTAACATGTCTAGCAGCAGGGATATTAAGCGACATTCTTAGCTTCTGTTACAAGCATTCAACAATCTCTTTCCCACTGATGGCCCTGGGTTGGTCTTGAAATAGAAGATAACAATCTGAGGTGTGATACAAGCACCAGAAGCATGTATCAAACAGTTACTAATATGCCTGATAGTTGAGAATATCCACCTGAGAAACTCTTTCCCAGCCCTCTTAATACACAAAATATGGTATTCTATACTGTACAATATATTATAGATCAATATTATATAAAACTATTATATGAGGAAAGAAAAAATAAGAAAAATACTTTGTTTCTCTGTTCCTGGCTTTAAGATATTCCGCCAAGATACTACGCACAGTTTTGAGTCCTCATTTCTGATGCATTTTGTTTGAAAACAGATACATACCTATCTGCAACATACATTTTCTTACAATTTGCCCAAGGCTGATTGTAACATAATACATTATTTAAAAGACACACAGTTTGTTCTAAGACCAGAAGTGCCTGTTCCAAATTAGCTGCAGTTGGAGTTAAATTAGAACATCTTTTTACGTAAAGTTTAAAGTAAATTTGGATACTTGTAACCAAACACCAAGCAATTCTCTCAAAATTCTGACTGACGTTGGAAAGTCACTCTGTATTATGTGGAGCGTTTCTGAAGTCACTCTAAATTACAAGGAGTACAACACAACTCCTCGGACCACAGGTCTTATGAAAGGTACTAAACTAACACAGACAATATGTAACTTAAGATCAGAAACAGCATACATAGTCCACATGTACACATAACTCAGAAGAACATTCCAGGATACTTTTATTTTTAGGGGAACAGGCACCCAGAACTTAGGAAACTCTTCGGTTTCAGAGGGAATGTTTGAAGATACTAATGATGGTATCTGAGCAATGGAGACAACAGACTTATGAATGACATGCAGTTTAGAGGCACGATACAGTTTTCCTCCTGTTATACAAGGATGAGTTAATAACAAACAAGTTAATTTCTCCTCCACCCACCCAGATATCATAGTTTTTCTACGTGCACATAAAGGTATGAAAAATAATTAAAACACAGTCTCAAATGTTAACTCAGTGTTTACAAATTAAAAGATAAACCTATATATCACACTTTTAGATTGAGTTTGCTGCTGCTGTTGAACTGCGCCTGAGAAACACACATCAGCAACTTCAATAACTGGTTACATAGTCTGTCAAGTAGTTTAATGAATAAGGGAAGTTCTTCAGGAAGGAATCAGAAGTTAATACCACTACAGTGGCACATGAACAATTTAACTCTCAGAGACATCCAGCAAGTCTCACTCACACTCTCTTTTTCCAGCATAGCCACCCTCTGCATAAGTACATACCTGTACTGCAATGCAAGCCGGAGGGCTGTGGCGTTGGACTCATACTTCCCAACAAGCATGCTCATCCTCTCAGCATTGCTCTTGCACTCTTCCAGTGTTATAGTCAACAAGTCATTTTGGGATTTCAGGTGCTCAATACGGCTGCAGAAAAGGAAGTAATTTGCAACCTTCAAGCTTAGCATGTAGGCACTGTCCTGAAAACTCCAGAACAATCATGATTTATAACAGGAAAGATCACTTGGATTACACAATCTTTATAATGATGACAGCAAAACCTATCGGCTTTGTGTCCCAGACCAAGAGAGAGGAGATTATTTCTTTCTTTCTCTTTGGACTGCCTCTTGTCTGCTTCGCAAAAATTTTTATAAGAAAAGCATAACCCTATGAAACAGCAGCAAGCAGAAAGCTGTATCTTTATTTTGTTGCTGTAAGATTGCGAGGGATAGATATCTTTTTAACCTTTTGCTTAATATTTCTTCCTCCACTCGTCTGTTCCTGCTGTCCCATCTGCTTCTGTTTTCAAGTGCAGTATTCATTACTGCTATGTGTGGGAGTATGTAGGGATCAAGCAGCTGCCCCCTTTTTTTGGAATATTGAGAATAACCATTTCATTTAAATTACTGTATCTTCGGAAATATAAACTCAGTTTTCAGAGACATTAATCTACAGAAGTTCTGGCAAATATCTCAGATCAGAACTTACTCATAATATTCTTTTTAATGGGGTCAACTCTAAATTTGAAAACAGGGCTTCAGAATACCAGTATTATTGATTATTTTCATTGCTGTTAACCACAATACACATCAACATATCACAGTGCATCATGACTAATCACAAGAGCTGGATATACAGTGAGACCAGATAATTCGGACCAGTGCCACCAACTCTGAAATAACTGATTCCTTAGCAAACACAATAAAGAGAAGGGTTATTACACTATTTTATCAGTGATCAAAACAAAACCTTGAACTTCACAGATGTCAGATCTTCCAGATGTCTCATCTCCTATTTTTTATCTGATATCTCCTATAAGGACGTGCTCTGCACATAAAATTTGTGCAATGCATGTCAGAACAAGCCAACAAAAATAAAGAAAAAGAGTGCAGTAATACTGAAACATGACCTATAAATGGAAGAGATATTACATTGATCAAACTAAATTTGAGACAGCTGTGAAGAACAGAGAATGTTCAAGAACTCTGAGACACAGTTCTCATGTTCCCGATCCACAGCTTTTGCTTTTATGTTCCAATGGATTACTCATGCATCGGTTTTCTTAGGGCTTCTGAAGGATATCAGCAGTTTTTGTTTTCATACTGAAACCAGAATGCTGCAATCTTTCTTCTGTAGCCAAAAGCCTATTTAATGGAGCACTACCATATCACCATATATCAGTGCCTATGTGGATATATTTGATGCTTGAATTCAGCTTCTTCAGGACGAAACAAAGCAAGCCACTTCCAGAATGACAGAGAATAATTTATGGATATCCTTATTTCTAGAACTGATGTAGTTCATAGAAAAAAGTGTCACATTTACTTTGCCAGCCACCACAAAGGATGCTGTACAGTACATACTTGCACAGATGAAAATGCCATGCTGACCATGGCACATGACAGAACTATCACAGTCACCAAAAGAGTCCAAATGATTCTATCTTCTCTCCACTACACATTCACTGCAGCTGCCAGAATTGAGCTTGGACTGAAAGATGAAATCTCAGAAAACAAAAAAGCGGCAACTTCAAAAAAAGTTAACAGGAAACAACACATTTGAGCACATCTAATTTTTCTCCTTACCTATTTAATCTCTCTGTCTCCACTTCAAACTCTCGGATTTTACTTTCAGAGATAGCAGATCCATGTGAATAAAGAGTCTGGAAGATTTCCTGGATGTTTGAGCAGTCTTGAAGGGAATGTGCCAAATGTTCAGCCACAGTACTAGACACCTGCACAGAGTAGTGAACAGACCATTGTGAACAGATAGCGACTGGATTCCTCTTACAGGCTGTCTGAATTGAGGACGGAGTTTTCCTTACTCACTTTAAGACAGTCATTTTTCTGTTTTTACTGTGAATTTTATATTCAGTGGCACACTTACAAATTCTACTTTAAGAAGATATTTTGATTTAAAATTCTACCAATAAAGGGTGAACAGCATTTCATCATATATAAAAAAGCCTAAGCCACAAGGTATTTACTTCCTTGAAAGCTCAGCAAAACATCTGGACAGCATAATTCAGTGAAACAAATGCTAACACACAGTAAGAACAGCACTGTGGATTTACAGTGGCATTACAAAGCAAAACACAGTTCTCAGTTGATTTGGAATTAGTGGATGCAACCAATCTTTTCTTGAGGAGTAATATATTCGATTGACACCAAAATCCATTGTCTTACAGTCACTCAGGGAATGATTTCTAGCAAAGTAAAAGAAAATGAGATAATAAATGAGCTGAAATTCCCTCTGATGAATTTTTTTTTTCTCTTATTAACTTTTAAAGGTGTATTTTTTTTTTTTTCCAATTAGCTCAGGTTTAAATTTAGAGAGAAAACAATGCTGCTTTAAATAAAACACAAGTCATCCTCAGAAGGCAACGTGCATGCACATAATCGTTAGTCCTTACCCCTATGCTGCTGATTTCTGATCCTAAGACAGGTCTGTCAGATGATGAAGACTCTGATCTCGTCTTCGACAACTTTACTCTTTCAGCAATCTAGAAGTCAGAATGCTGTATAACTTACAAAGGACCCATGAAGATTATATGAAATGCATTTGTTCACTAGCTATATTTACAAACCTGAAATAAGCTACCATAAGGCTGACCCCCACGTTGTAAATGAGAAAATTACAACTGAACACTTCAATACTCTTTGCTGCTCAAATTCCCACACCTACTTAGGGCCTTGGAAAACTCTGGGGATTCCAGATATTTCCCAGTTAATGATATCCATGCACAGTGGCTGTGCAAAATGAAGTCTGCTTCACCTAGATAATAATAAGCACTACTGTAATCTGCAGTAGCTCACCTTGGCAATGGGAATGTCATTGCTACTACTGCTTGTGCTCAGCTCTCCTGTGCTGGGGTTAATGGGTCGATTTGCAGAAGTGAGACGACTCGGGCTGGATGGGCCTGTTGCCTGCACACTTTGCAAACGAGTTTGCAGTTCCCGAACCTACAATAAAACACAACAATAACTGGTCTTCCACTTTTAAATATTAAACAGTTCAAAGACTTTCTCATTGTCCAGGCAATGCTGGCAGTTTCTGGCTGGAGATCAGACATTGTGTTTTGTCCTGTGGTGGCTACAGGCCTTTCATGTGGGGAGAAGACGCACAAAGGATGTTTTAAAATTCCATTAGGTTTTTAAACGATCTGTTGAGAACGTTTGCAAACATAATCGTGTAATTATGTTTCAGCTTGTTTCCTACAAGCCCTTCAGTGCAGCAGTACTACCTGTATAGAAATTATCCTCTCTGGGGGTGAAGTTAATGCTCTAACGTTAGATTGTGATACCTAAACAAAAAACAAAGATCCTGCTGTTAGTGGAAAACTCCAGTGCTAGAAGAAGCTCTTGACATAAAAATATTACATATTAAGATGACTATCATTTTTCAAAGATCAACAAATTCAGATGTTAATCATGCTTTCAAAACCATTATTATGTGGAACTACCAAATAATAAGTACTGTACGGAAGTCCTCTACAAAACACTGCACAGCCCTCACAGCACATCAGATATTTGTACAACTGACATCAGAAGAGCTTCAGAACCTGAAGGGGGAGGAAAAAAGACATGCAAGAGCCAAGCTGTATTGCTAAGCAAAAGGTTATAGTGCTCACTTTGTAATAATCTTAACAAGGAATAAATGCTTTGCTTTACAACAATTATGACACAAAGTAAAGTGACAGAACTGATTTTTCCTACAGAACAAGCATCCTGGTTAAAAACAAAGAGTGGCAAATAGAGAAGGGAGTGGAAATCACATGGAGAGGAAGGCTCCCTGAATGTGGAATGTCTACTTTAACACACAGGTTTCTGCATGGATTATACAAAAACTTCTCACAACAGAACTTGTGAAATTTCACCATAAGTCTAGTAATTAAGAAGAGCTCAGTGAACTTGACAACTTCCTGAAGCATGAAATGCAACTTTGATACCTATTCTATAAGGTGTGATTTTCAAATAAATGTAACATCTTACACCAACACTAACATCTGATTAAGCAAGCTGAAATTCCATAGCCAGAAAATATAAAAAAAAAATGAGTCACAAGCCTGCTTCAGCTTTAGGCTTACCAAATGCACTAATTAACCTCTGTTTGAAGGAGTGGCATTCAGCATGTACTCAGCACAACATGCACAGATCCCTTCAAGCTACTGCACAGAGGAAAATGTTCAAGCTAGAACTCTTCCCAGTCAAAAAAAGCAGCATCTTATGTCTCCTATAATCCCCTGCAGTCTGCTTCTATGCCCCTGAGGAGTTCACCTGCCCCTGCCTCAGATGCCACAAACTGAAGGTCAGGTTGTCTGAGGAGTTGCTGTCAGAACAACAGAATTTTTAGGTAAGTGCAAATCACAAGGAGGTAAGGAAAAGAACATTCTTTACATAGCAGTGTAGAACAATTGCATATTACTAATAACAGGCTACATAAAGGCTAACTGTACTCATAACCTCCCTGTTCAGTCATAGAGGAATGCACAATGTGAATTACACAACATGAACAAAAATAGCTCCTTTGATCTCTCTGTTGAAAAGGGCAAAGTATGCAACACCTTAAAGGAAAGTTCCAATGTTTCAAGGAGCTTTGTTGGACAATGAACATGAGTATTTGCCTCACAATTATACATCTTAAATGTAACTGCTGTAATGAGAGTTAAATGAGAAGAGTATATGAAATGCACATACAAAGCATATATCATCTTAATATTTGTAGCTGAGGCTTCCATGTGTAATATAATACATGTACAACTTCAACGTGGGTACAGCTGCACTAATACAAATCTTATGGACAGGAGTGCTGCACTAATGCAAACCAATTACTTTAGCCCACTGATATGCTTAAAACTAAAACAAATCTCGTGGTTATGTTTATACTTGCAGATGAGGTATGCCAGTACAGACAGGATTTGCACTGTTTGGCATTAGCATTGAAGAGAAAGAGGCAATCCCAAAACTTAATTAAAACAAAATCACATGTACTACTATTCCTTTAACTTATGCTATTCCAAAGTAAGATCTCTGCCACACTGTCCAACTTAGAAAATGCTAAAATATTTACTTATGCCCAAAAGCTAGTATTGGAAGATTTAACTCCAAAATAATATTCTAAATATTCTAATGGCAACCAGGAAGTAAAGTGTTAAAGTTGCTTAAAATGCTATGTAACTGTGTACTCCAAAATTCAAACTATCTTATATATTGTCGACTCAAATGCAAATAGTTTTCCTAAATTTTATCTTTTATTACCGAGTAATTATTATCCACAATTAAATAGGCGATTATTCTTACAGATCTGTAAAACAAGATTCATAACAGTAGAAGAAGACAGCTAAGACTACAGCCAGGCAAAGCTTTGCTCACAAGAGCGTTTATAGAAGAAAACACAGAGCAGGGTGCATTTATCAATCTATGCAAGTCACTGCTTTAATACCATATCAAAAACGACGACACAATTTTAAAAGGCGTGAAAAGCTGTCTGCCTTCTTGATGTATTTACTGATTCAGGCCATCATATGAGAAATTACATGCTGAATTAATTGCTACAAATAACTACACTAATTTTAGCAACACTGAGTACTAGATAATAATTCTGTGTAGAATAACAGTACAGGTTTGTCTTATCTGCAAAATCGCTAGTCTCACAATCCACACATTAATAGAATCAGGATCTCATGATGGGGTGATCCACTCACCCGACTACCCAGAAGTAGCTCAGGTAACAATTTTTGGACACCAAAATCTTACCCATAAATACAGCAGTATATACCAACTTCTCAGAATGTACTTTGCCACACTAGTAATAATTCTATACGGAAATTAAATGAAGACCAAAGAACAGGAACCAAGGGGAAAAAAAAAAGGAGTTCAAAAGAAGCAGTGTCTTTTCTGGATTGGTGAATGCATGTAAGGAGTAGCTGAAACAGCATGACTAAAAATTGTCTCATCGCCACATCTTCCATCTTCAAACTTGTCACCATTACAATATAAAGTATTCTGAAGATTACTTCAGTAGATAGGAGGTAACTACAATACTGCATGTAAGACACAGTAAACATTGGGAAATGGGTGAGAGAGAAACAGGAGATCTCACAGAAAATGAGTGACGAAGTTGGAAAAATCCAATGAACGTTTTATGGATTGGTTCAGCCCCTTTCCGTGAGAAATGGGGTAGGGTGTCCACAGACCCACACCCAGGAAAGGTGAAAGGGAAAAAGCAGGGAGATGGCCCTAAAAACGACACAGCAGCAACAATCTAAGGAGGAGAGCTAATCAACTAAATAAAATATTGGAATGCAGGATAACACAATATAATACAATATAATTGGAATTGAAGTTGATAAATCAAATAAAATAAGAGACAAAGTGTACAAAAACCAAAGGCCTGACTCTAATGCTGAAGGTGAGATGGCTAGGGAGCACACACTGTCGGGATGAGCAGAAAGGGAAAAAGAGGCATCTTGTGATCTGTAAACAGTTTTGTCTTTCTGAACAGAAATGCAAAGTCCCCTGGGTTATGTAGTTCTTCTTCCAGATACCCAGAAATATTTGCAGTCCATGGAACTTGAGCATTAAGCCTTCATCTCCCAGTGCATAACATGATGGTTATGATGTGGAATACTGATAAGAAAGATCATGAAACCATGATAGAATGAAGATACGTTTAGAAAAAAAAACAAACCAAACCAAACCCAAACAAAACAATCAAAACAGTCCCAGTAAAAGCTAGAAATTTTGGATTTGTAAGCTGGGGAGGAATAATGTGGAAGGACTTAAAAAAAAAAAAAAAAAAAAAAAGATATCTTAGACCTTTGCATCATGTTCATTATGTTTAGTTAAAAGATAGGAACATCAAGAGAATATCTAAATTACCACAAAGCCCTCGAACTCCAATTTGAAATGGAAGTTGGCAGACATGCAGATTGTATTATATGATCAGAAGAAATAAGGCTGAGGAGCAGCCAGAGGCAGAAAGTACAAATCGAAGACAATACTTGTAAAAACCACAACTGGGAGGAGGGAAAGGAAGATACTCCAGTAGTCGGAAGAAGTCCAGAGCATTACAAAAGTAAGGACACCGCAGCAGAAGGGGCATTGAGGCACAAGGCAAGAGTCATTAAACTTCAGAGAAACTGATAGTTACCAAGGTAAGTCAAAACATACATTTTCTGAAGTAACTGATATGAACTCACATAACTTCAAAATTTTATGTACTACTTTTTTGTGTTTAGCTGCAATTGTTGTTTTTTTAAAAATTTTATTTGAATGCTGAGAATTGGAATAGGAAATAAGGGAAAAAACAAAATTTATTGTGAGTGCCCTGTAAACTAAAAAAAAAGAGAGCAAAGAAAGGATAAAAAAGGGGCTGATGTGCTACAGAAACATTGGACTTAGAAAAGACTTTATACGTGATTAAGAAGCAACGGGACTTGTTTGCAGAAAAGAATATTACATAAGAACATGCTTGTTGTCTATAATCATGACTCTAAGAATCTTATTTCTACTCTTTGTATTTTACACATGCATACTCATCATGATTTCTTAACATACTGTAAGTAAAAAGCACAGATACAAACTGTCTGTTCTTACTGATTTCCATATTCAAAGGACACCTACTGCTTCTGATGTTAAACAAAATAAGGGGTATGCATGAGATTCTTTTCATTCTATCTTACTTGTGACCTGCCTCTTTCACCATTCAGTATCCTTGAACCCCTTCCATAAATACATAGGATTTTTTTTTCAGCATTTTGATATCATTTCCATTTTTTTTACTGTTATTAATAGGGAGAAGATAAAGTACAACAAAGTACTGGAAGTTAACATCTCTCTCACTTTTCATTTTATTCATGCGTACTACAGATTTGTGGAGGAGAATCATGAGTATCAGGACCAAGAAGTCTGATTTGCTACAGTTCTGCTTTTGTGGTCTCGAATTGCCATCAGCTTACACCATAACATATGTATTTCCGAGTACTTCTCAGGCAATCTCCTCAATGAATTCTCTGGAGCTGAACCAGCTCTATCTGTCGTCATCAGCTAAGGTACATTCTGTAAATGCCCTGCCTCCTATAAAAAGGGATGAACTTACAAAGAACTGTGAAAGAATTTAACTGTCACCGGAATCTTGATTCCTCAGTGAGGACTGAAAATAAATCCACAATCTGAAAAATTTCTTTGAACAGAGAAAAAGAACAACACACAGACATACATCTATGCGAGGTGTGCTATCAAGGTTTATACATCAGGGCTTTTTAAGCAGCAGAACAAGTTGCAGTGCTCTGGCTTAGATGTTACCAGTCGTCTACAGCCTTTAACACTTTTCTGATAGGAGTACCTCATACAGTGCTTCTTGCTGACCAAGGATTCAGCTTCTTGCTGTAAAGGATGCAAAGCAAAAAAAAAACTAAGGATGCGACACTGGATGTGAAGACAGGCTTCTCTGATAGCTCTGAGCATTCTGATCAAGGCATGCATACAGCTGGAAACAAACTTAAGTGAGGGAAGTCAGCTTATCTCAGGCTTTTCCTCATTTAATTTTAGATTAACCACTAAGTATTGTCATACAAACTTGGAAAAAGAAGCAAAACTCTAGTTTCTTAATAACAGAGATATTCCTATGTAAACCAATAACGTGCATCTGAATAAGGTGCAGATCTGAAAACAGGTTTTGGCTACTACTGAATGTTTCTGCAAACCAAGAGACAAGGAAGGTGACAGAATTGCTCAAGGATCACCTTATGCTGTGTAAGATTATAACCATCTCTGAGTGCCCATAACATATCAGCTTTGTTAATGTGTGGGATAGTACATTCAAACTACTGTTTTCAACTTCACTCTAGGTTATATTTTCATTACGGTCTTAAGTTAAAGACAGCTAAAATATTAGGTCTGCACTTTCTGGTTAGTTTGAAGCAAATGCATTAAAGAAATCATCACAACTGAAAGCATTTGATTAACTGCACTAGTTTTTTTGTTTGTTTTTCCATCAAAAACTCTCATCTTTTATTCTACAGTCATGATGAAGGTTATATGCTATATATTGCACATCACTGCACATCTGACTCACATGGTAAATACAAGAGGTTCTGAGAACACAAATACTAATTCTACTGTTGTTTAAGCCTGCTATTATACATAGCAGTTTTAAATTGCAGTGCCCTGATTCCAATTTTAAGTTAATACTATTCCCATGAGCTCGTACAGAAGATCCCCTGCATTTCATTTTATCATTACTCTGAATTCAGTAATATAAACATACGTTGCAGTAAGCAGTTTTCAGGGCTCTGACTAGCCCAGACTTACACAAATTTTATGTTTACTATGGCAATATCACACAGAGATAACATAAAATTCAGTGTAACAAAATTAGCTACAGCGCAGGCACCCTACAGAAATACAGATTGCCTCATTTACTAAAGACCATGAGAAAAAAACTCTTCATGTATGTTGTTTCATAGCTACTGCTCTAGAAAGCATCACAATCTGTTAACTGAGCACATTAAACATCTAATTAAATTAAATCTCCAGCAAGCCTGAGAAAAATGTATTGAAAGCACTCTGCCTGATTACAGACATTGGTCTAAAGTAACAGACCTATTGATCTGGTCAACTTCAGCTTACTCGCTTAAATTTAATTTGAGAACAATAACTAAATTTTTGTTGGATCTCCTTCTCTGCTCTCCAGGGAAATAATCTGGAGTGACTCTGAGTTCAGCTGGCATACAGAAAATATCTAGCAGGTCAAACAAAATATTTGCTGTTGCAACTATGGACACAAAGTTACACAGCGCTGCTGATGAAGTCATAAGCCATTAACACACCTCCCCAGTGGCGGCAATAAACCATTTGTTCTGCAAGTTCAGGGTGACATTAAAAAAACGTATTTCAGTGAAGTCAATGAAAGATGCAAACCAAATGAAAATAACTGAAAAAACCTGCCAGCTGTGCGTGAACATGGTTTGCCATATTTTATGTACCAACCCAGCATTAATTCTTTATCTACCACAAAGTTAGGGCAAGACACCTATCCCATTTGTGTAAGAAGAACTTCCTTAGTTTAAAAAAAAAAAAACAAAAAAAAACACTTAAACTGAACTGGCTTGTCATACAGCAGAGACAGCTCAGAATCCTTACAGAGCATCTCAAGAGTCACCATCTCCACACACAACAGACTGAATGCAGTTCCAGTCAATAGTGATGCCCTGCTGCTACCATTTGACAGCTGTGCCAGCTGCTTACACCACACAGGCTGGAGTTCTCAAATCTTATATCCACTAGAGATGCTTCTGTAGCGACACACATTACTGACAGATGCAGCATCCACACTAACAGTTCAAAGAGACAGATCAACAACTATCAGATCAACATTAACACTCTGCCCTTCCATTCCTAGGCCCTATGGAAATAGTGCATAAATTTCATAATATAGCTAATACTCATGTATCTCCACAAATACTTGGGACTTCCAATACAGGACAACAATTTCAAGCATCATTCACATTCAAAGAATTAGATTTTCTCATCACCTAACCCAGCCCTCTGCTCTACTGGCAACCAGACAAAACACCACAGTTTTACACAAATAATTAAACTACCACAAGAATTAAAGCTGCTACATTAAAAGCAGGCTATTTGCTTTTCTTTGGACACAATCCCAATAGCCTCATTCTAATCAGTATCTACACAGTTGTATCTTTTATCACACAAACATATCTTCAGTATTTTAAGCTGTGTTTTCAAAGTAGTCTCTATCCTTACTCATTACTCTTTTCAGAACCACAGCTCTCTTGTGTTAGACACCTCATAGACTAATTTCTACTTAATTAGCCTAATGCAGTTATAAATAGTCTATATTAATATTTTCTTGCTCCAGTTTTGTCCGTGAGTTCGAATAGCAGTTAGCTCCCATTCTTACTTGCTTTATCTAGCACTCAGGAGAAATGAAACACAGATTTTGCTTTGCCAGGTTAAACAAGACAGCCTCTTTCAGTCACTTCTCCAAGCAATCTCTTACTTTTAATATCCTCTTCTACATTTTTTTGGACAGTTTAAGCTACATCTATTTATGCAAAGAAGATAAGAAATACACAAAATACTCCAGATGATATCTCACCACTTTTAACATAAAGCATAATAACCTTTCCAATCTCTACTGGAAAAATTTGACCCGGTACTTCACAACACAGCATTTGCTGCCATGCACAAATGTCTCACAGGATAATCCCACTTAGAACAAACAACAATTCTTCCCTTTGTTTTTCTTTTCTTTTTTTTTTTTTAACTGAAGAATTCCTGATTGTCATAAAAATTTTTCTAATCTGGCTTTTAAGCACATGAATTTACACTCCACGCTTCTCAAAATTCAATCAATTTTCTACTAATTCTATCCTCTGAAATGTGTATTTTTGCTCTGCATGATATCCCAATAGTGGTCTGCATCATCTGTAATCTCAGTACCTACATTTCTGTATGCAAGTTTAACAAGCGCAAACTTCTCTTCCTCATAAAAATCCTACAATAGTTTACCAAATGTGTAAATATTACTTTTATAACTAAAGAGGAGAGTACTATCTCTCTGTGAAAAGAAACGCCAAAAAATCAGGACTGAAACCAATTCATACTTCTGATATGTAACAGAAATACATTCTAGAAAACCTAAGTTGGAAATGGTCTTCTTTAATGTAATAGCAGATTGTTGCTCTTCCCTCATAATGCAGCATTTTTAGTGTTAAAAGACGTGAGAGGATTTTGTAAAGGTAATTTCAATCCTGGTACTTGAAAACTGGTGCAGCTTCATGCTGAAATGGTACAAAAACTACAGAACAGTTGTTTTGGAAACACTGTGCTTGCACAGTGAGTTGCTCTGCTGTCACTAAGTGAACAGTAACACTTTCAGTAATTTTAACAATGTACAGTGGTCTAAACAGCTACTCAAATTGAGCATAAACCTTGAACAAATTAATAACAAAATTATATGTTGCAGATTAAGATAACTTATTTTTAAAAGCAACAGGTACTGTGGTCATGTTGTCTATTTCTACTTTTTTGTAAACAAATTTCCAGCTTTCTTACTACAGACTTCACACAAAGCACAAAGCCATTATCTGACAATGCAGCACCATAAAATGTAGATGTGGAAACAGAACATAGCTGGGACTCTGCATTGTTCAGTTTAGAGAATTATTACCCAGAGACAGGAATCCTGTTCTTTCTCTTTTGCCTAATTACAAATTGAATTTCCATCAAAAACAAAGCAATATTTGTTGTTAACAGGAAAAAACATGCCTCACAGGAAAATCCACTAAATTAACATCTGCTTTCTGTATGGACAAGTTACATATCCTTCAGTGGAGATGAACATCAGAATTCCTGCTAACACACACTTTCTGACTTCAGGTCAGCTGCTTATCATATGAGCTTTTGTCAGTAATGCTGAATTTTGTCTTAGCTCTGTCATTTACACATATCAGCTTTAAAAACAGAAAACCCTAAAGCACATACAGGAAGATGTTCTTATGACAAAATTACTCAGGACGACTTAGTTTTCCCCTGAAACACAGATCAATCTATGCAGTGTGTGTGCAGACAGTTCTAAGGCCTTACCCTTCTACGCAGTCTGTCCCTTTCTTCACGAACAGCATTCATAGTGGCCTTGGTCCTATTCAGCTCCTCCTCTTTGCTACAGAGCATGGCAGTGAGGCTCTCATTTTCTTCCCGCAAGCCAGCAAGTTCCTTTTCCCATCGAGATCTCTCTTCAGACAGATTTGGATAAAGGTCACGTCCTAGGACACCCTCAATCTCTTCTACTGTCTGAAAAAATATAGTCACCGTAAAAAAAGGAAGAAGTAAATTAATTGAATAAGATTAATGGTACAGAAGTGCGAAACAAGCAACTCCACAATTACGTGTACACACCCAAACCCACAACACCATCATTTGGCTTCTTTTGCTTGTTATGAGGGATGACCATTTTATTAAAATATTTCATGCTGATCCACAGTAAAGCAAAACAATGTTTTAAGTGCAAATTTGTTCTACTATTTTTGCAACACACAGAAGTGACAGCTGTCCTTGTAAATTCATCTAAAAAAATAATAAAAATTAAAAAATAAATAAATAAAAAAAGAAACAAATTAATGACTACCTACCATAGGGAAGCAACACACTTGTTGTATCCCTGCCTGGGGAGCACTCAGGAAGCAGCAGCTTGAACATGGGCTGCGGTGCACAGACATGGGGCCTTTCTTAACACTAGGCCAATCCCACAAAAAGGGTGAGAGAAAGAATAAAAAAAGAAAAGATTCTTGCCTCTCCACAACCCTGAGTACATTCTTCCCCACAGGGAACAGAGAAATAAATTAGAAGATTTTACAGCCCTTCTACTATCTAAAATGGCCATTTTTCTGTGGGACATAATTCATTCTAGTACTTCCACCCCAACCCCTCCCTTATTCAGAGCTACAACCTATAGGTTCCACTCAGCACAAAGTAGATGGAACATCTTCCACTGGCTGAAACTGAACCACATGCACACACTACTAGCAAAGGAACACTGCAGTGAATCAACAGCCCAACTGATCATTTAAGTCTTAAAATATGGTGCAACACCAAGTGTCAGATTTCTTCTAAGGAGCTCTTACGCTGCTATGCAACTAACAAACATATACTTTGCCTGTGTTAAATGTATTTACTTATCCAAGATGTTTGAGAAAAAAAAAGAAAAATCTTCCTCATAGGAGTTTGAATCTCTTTTAAATCAGTCTATGTTAATATGTTAGCGATAGGTATGGAATATAAATGACTGTACTACAGAACTACTAACAGAGAAGTTTCACTTCACTGGACTTCCCAAGAGAATGTTTTAGCCAAAGACTGAGCTTTCACGTTTAATTTGTAAGATTAGTTACTCATATACCAAGGTAAAAATAGTCTAGTTATTTTATATACAAAAATCAAATCCTTTTCACATAACAAAAATGACTAGAAGTTTACATTCTTAACCTGGGAGGGAATAAAAGGCTCAGTTACAGCACAGATGAAAAGGACAAGTCAAGTTGAAAACAAAAATTTTTTTTTTCTGCAAGAAATCTTCCCACTGTTTCCAGAAGAGGTACACTGTGGTACCAGTGACCATTATTACCAACAAATAACATTATTTGTTCTTATTAAAAAGTGGTTATTTATGGTTATCAATATATTAACTACTTTCTGGGCACAGCAAGGTACCTCAGTGGAATGAAAAAGGAAGTAAACTTTTCAACAACAAGTTGAAGATCAGACTACAAGCCTCCGTAGAAAAAGTAGGGTCAAGGTTTTTCCAATCAGATTCAGGCTATCCTTTTAAATTCCATTTCAACTCTCCTCCATAAAACCACAATGTATTTAGACTAATAAATATAAAACTCAACTGACAGAGTATCTGAACTGTAACCGCTTACATATTTGTTAGTAACTTTCATTTAACTTCTTAAAGAGCAGTGTGTTGCATTATCTCTGTAAGACAAAACAATTTACAATCTTCCCTTATATTACTTTAGACCTACATGTCTCAAGCAAACTTCATGAAGTGATAGCATTAGCACAGGTCTAGCAGTGATACTGAAGGCTCCCCTATAATCCTTCATGAAGCAGAGGGACACTTCTGCTTGCTCCTGTGCTCCCTCATTTTGATGCGACCAATATCCTTTTACTGATTAAATTATTGCCAGAATTCTATGGTTTGACAACCGACATGCTTCATCTTCCACATAAGTAAACCATGTATGTTGCACATGGATATATCTGCCCAAATATCATGCTGTTTATTTTTCTTCAAAGCAGTATAACAGATAAGCTTTAACAGGCATGCTGCTGCAAAAGAAATAAATTCAGGTGTAATTTAACAGATTGAATTAACAGACTGATTTCGCAGATTAAGTTAGATGCAATGCTCTGAGCACAGGGCAGAAAGTCGTACAGTAATTCTAGTGCTGTCTCTGACATAGGCAACGCTCTTTGCCTTGCTTTTCTTACAACATGTGTTCTGTGTTACAGGTATGCTAGCAAATAACGTCAGCAATATCAGGTTTAAAAGATGCAAAAAGCAGCACTTTTTCACAGGGTATATCTTAAAGGTAGAACTTATTCCTGACAGCATTTATGGAGTCCAAACATTCAGACAGGTTTTAAAAACATCAGGTACAAACACAGAAGAAAATTATAACAAGACAAAACACGAAAACAACTTTTTGCTGAAGATGTTCCTAAACTTATCTTGCTGGAAACATCTCTGAAGTAAGGAGAAGGACATGCTATGCATGTCCTGCTTGAAACAGTTTTTCCATTGACATCTGCCACCAGGCAGGATGGACTTTTGGTTCAACCCAATGTAGCTACAATGTTTTAAGTAGTTACCATTAGGAAATATTTCAAACTTTTTCAATCACCAGAGTTTGCTAATTAGTAGGTACTTGTTCCCAGATTTGATTGTTATTTACTTTTCAAAACATCTGAAGCATTGACCAGCTGATTCTAAGGAAATTTTCTTAAAGGATAGATTTGTAACTGTTGAGGACATAGGAAAGGAGAAACAATCTGCAACCATGGGTGGAATTGCAGGTGAGGGACCTCAACATGTAGGTACTGCTGAATTAAGCATGTCAGTGACATATTTCCCAAAATCACAATCAGGGAATGACAGAGAGATTCTTACCTTTTGAAAGGTTAATATCCTTTGCATGCTATCATTTGCCTAACACAAACAATTCCAGGCTCTACTGAAAAGGCAGTGGGGAAATATGTTTCCCCTCATGGTCCAACAATGGCTAAGCAGTATGTAGAGATCACGTGAAGAGAGAAAAATTCTGCTTTGTAACAGGAAGAAGCTGCCAATAGTTACTCATAATGATAAAAGCTTCACAGCATTTAATTAGAATCAACAGTAAATAAAGGAAGAGAGACTTCTGTGTCTCTCAGACCAATCTCTGCCTGTTTTTCAAGATCCACAATCTCTCTCTTCATGAGTACATACTTCTGAGAACTCCAGAAAATGCTCAACAACATTCAAAGTTTTGATCCTAATCCAAGACACTCAAATAAGCTGCTTTAAAACCACTCTCAAGATACATAGGAGTCAGAATGTCTCATACATACCCATTCTCCAAACTTCTACTCAACATTGATTTCTTTACAAGCAATTAAATTCTTCAAGCACCATCAAGAGCTCAGGAGACCTTTTCCAGCAGCATGCCAAAGGCCTGACTCAGCAGCTTAGAGTGGTCACAGGTTTCCCTCAAAAGCAAAGTGTTGATAGATTTGTTTTTGTATAACTGGATCACTGATGCTTCTCCACCTGACACAATAAACGTGTTCACCTCTTTCTCCATACACGACAACCTACTACTCCATTGCTTTCAGGTTCAGAATTACAATCCCATTGCATGTCAGATCAGGCATTCCTTTTTATTATTACTTTGAATGCATAACAAAACCAAGAAACATGAGTATGAACTGAATTACTTGTTTCTCAGAATTAATATACCATAACATGCTTTTGTTTTATAAATTAGATTTGTACTTTAATATATCAAAGACACAACCTACATATCATTTACAGCACCTTATCTTCAAGTTTCAGTGCATATTCTACATTGTGCTGTCAATTACCAGTCACTGGCTAGCTGTGTGACCTTGGGCAAATAACAGCTAATTTGCTGCATAATCTTCAGCAAGTAAATTAACTGCTGAGAGTCCTTGTTTCTCTTATCTCTGAAATGAGGATAATGCAAATGCACTTCTGTTTTGAGAAGTCTACAAGTATCTTCTTCTACTCCTTGGAAAATCTAACGTATAACAGGTGTACCTGTCCACCACATAAAATGAAGTAGAATTGACTTCTGTGAGGTACTTTGACTTCTGATGTGAGGTGTCATTTCTACAGAATATTAACACTTGTCACACATGCAATAAATACACCACACTTACAGCCTAATATTACTGTTACCTTAATGGCTAAATCACAATGTTCACTGGCAGTCGTGAGCTGTTCAATATGTCTGTCCACTTCTGCCACTGATAAACTGCAACTGCTCTTCTTCCTTCCACAGACAACATTCTCCAGACCAGTCAGCACTCTCTGTAGTTCTGAATTCAAGTCACTACAGTTATCTAAAACAAAACAGAATACTACATTGCAGTACTGAGTGATGTGGTAAAAGTACAAACTTTACCCCAAGACATATCTGATGCAGAAAAGCATTCCTTTTCTGAATGGTATACCCTTACAATCCGTCATTTTTCCCTCAACAATTGACAAGGTTAAATACCATACACACATTAACTGCAATCACGAGCTTCCTCCAGTCTGACAGACAACATTCCCTCTATGCATTCACAATGTTCACTCTTAGTTTAAAAATATTTTTCTGAAAAACACAATTTTAAAATTTATAATTTTAAAATTCGAGATTACAGCTAAAACTACATTTTTAATTTTAAATGTTACATGGTGCCATTTTTTGGTTATTTTTTGCCATTCAGGGTCTACTATTCTGATTTGATTACCCTCACAGATTTTTCTGAGTCTTCTGCCTGGTACATTTAATGACATTATGATGCTCACATCTGGCTACAGCTGAGAAACAGACCCTACAGAAGACAGAAAAAAGTATTCACCTGTAAGCTGTCTCTCAAATGTGCTGGTTGACACTGCTGACTTACTAGTCAAGAGTTTGCAGAAACTACTGATCATATGGTACCCAAGTGATGTATCACATAACAGAAGAGCACCAAGAGTTCTTATACCTTCTTAAAAACAGTGGCAAGCATTTTTTCTGCTGTGTATTATTTCTACACTACCACTCCACAAAACATTTAGCAAGAGCTAAAATACAAATGCTCCTCAGTATATCTTGCAGAGTAGAGCAGCATATCTAATTGTTACTCTATTGTAACATGTTACAGTTTTTATTCAGCCACTGAGGGTCACTTTGTAAGGGCAGTAAGCAAGGCCAAATACGGTTTACAAGATTATGATTTTTTTACTCCAACACGTGGGGGTAAAATATATATCAATATGTATTTCAGTGCTTACACACCCAAAGAATTTACTTTCAAAGGAATACCGAAAGAAAAAAAAAAACAGGAAGGAGATATTCTATGCACAGAAGGACAATGTGGAAAAAAAGGCAACAATCCTTAAATTAGCGTTGTTATCTTGTACACTGCTAGACTTCATTTTATTCTAGCATTTTCTTTGATTAACACAGCCTCAGTTTACTTCTTCACCATGTTTTGACTGGCATTTCTAAGGCTACGATTCCTCCTACAAAAAAGAATTGCTTTCTGCAATGGGTGTTCATTAAGAAGGACATAAAATTATCAGAGAGCATCCAAAGAAGGGCTATGAAGGTGACAAACAGACTGTAAGATAAGGTGTTGTCCCTGGGTTTGTTCCGCCCAGAGGAGGTTGAGATGATACTCCATGATTACATGTCTACTAAGAAGCATCACTCACCCATGTCTGCAGTGACCATGGTGGACTGATTCTCGGGTACCGAAACAGAATTCTGGTCCATGCTGCGTGAGTCTTCATTAACCTCATGCTGGCTTTGGCTGAGCTCTGACCGCAGCTCTGAATACTCATCTTCTTCCCTGGACAAGAGAACAAAGACAAAAATCGAAACCTCTAAATAAATATGCAACTCTGTGAAATAATCCACACAATTCTAATGGCATTTTGTTCAGTCATCAGAGAAAGTTTTATATCTGTACCACAAAGCAACTTTAATTGGGCTGTTCCCGCAGCACACATTTAGAGCAGCCTATACCTGGTTTCCATTTCTTTAAACTCCAATTCTTATTACTCCAAACTACCATACAGTGACACAAGGAGTGGAAATGAGTGCAAGCAAGAACATGTGCAAGGAGGAGTCACGCTGCACTACAGTAACTCCTTAACAGACCACGTGTAATGAGCACAAGTTGCTTTTATCACATAGTTGATTAGGAATAACAGAATTTGATTTTCTCCTCTGTTGAAGGATGCCATTGGCCTGAGAGAAAAGCAAGGCATACACATACATATCTGTGTATGTGTATCAAATTCTCCTGGGGAGAAGTAGGTTTTCAGTTTCTCTTCTCAAAAGGAAGAGAATGAGTACAAAACTGCTCAAGTTAATGGAGAATAAAAACCCTCAATTAGCTAGGTTTTAAGTTATCTGTCAAGACAGTTCTACCAAAATTATTTGGGACACAGATGACTTTAGCTAAATCCATCAACCTTAAAAAATGAAGGCTTTTCCCTTCTGTCTCTACATGAAGAGTTCAAAGCACTGGGAAAGAAGATAAGTAAATGAACAATAGCTTTGTCTGAGAACATCTGTGAATATTTTCTCTTTTGATCCACTTGCTGATTGGATTAAAAAATATTTCCACGGCAATTCTTTTGACGTTAACATACATATTTTAAATATGCGAAAAACACCAGTTTAACCAGGTACTGAGTCCATCTGACAAGTAAGAAAACAGACATTTTTTTAAATCTTCAAATCAAACACAGAGATTTATTCTGTTGCAGTTTCAGCAGGATTGTGAATAAAGTAACACACCATGAGAACAGAATTGTCAGGATTTGGAACAAGTAAGAAATAGCAAAGAGCTATCTGGAATCTGCATATGGGAGGGGCATCTGTACTGTAAGTCTGCAGTGTGTAAGTTACATGGTGGTGAGTGTTTCGTGCAGAAATATTGCAGGATTTAGCCTGGAGGGTTGTCTGGATTTGCCAGGCAGAAACAGCAGAGATGAAGGCCTGTGAATACATAAAACACTAACAGAAAAAAGTCTGTTCTCAAAGCAGCAGAAGTAACAATTTATGAATCAAGTCTACTCAACTTAAGCAGGGTTTCCTAAGGTACTGAAATGTAATTTTACAGAAATGATAACGCTCTTTTACTCCTTGCATTTGCTTCAGTGCAAAGAAATCCAGATCTTATCAGAAGCATTTCAAAATACGCAGCTCAGCTGCTTAAAACTGAGATTTAGATCAAATAAAAGTTTTAAAGATACTATGCAATACATTTAAGAAAGTGAGAGAACTGGGAAGACTGCCACAGAAGTAATCCTCTGATTTTATTATGTGGGCCCATGACATTAGAGGCCGATGGTAGTATGTCAGAAAAGATTAAACCTTCCCACCAATATTCCATTACATCACTGAATTCCTCCATGTAGAAAAAATGGCACCCATTGACATTCATTGATTCTTTCTGAATGCCTATGGAGATCAACCAGTGGACGTGAGCACGGTCAGGCAGTGGGTGGTGCCTTTCAGCAGTGGCAGCAGCGACATGAAAGACAAGCCACATTCCAGACAGCTATGCACAGCTGTCACTTCACAAAATGAAGAGTGTCTCCACAGCTCATCCGTGTGAATCTGAGAATTACAGAGAACTCTGTACAGAGTTGAATATCAGCATTTCAGTGATGGTGGCAACTCTGGAATATCACAAAGTTTGAAACAGGTGCGTCCCATGAATGCTCACAAAAGAACAGAAAGAACACTGTACACAAGGTTATCAGGACCTACTGAACCAACGTGAGGCTGAAAATGACAGTTTTCCAGTTGGCAATAACAGAAGATACCATTTGAGATTTCCCTTTCTCCAAAATGGGAGAGCAGTTCCTCAATGGCACAGGAAGGACAAGGCTTTTCACACCTTATGGTGACTCACTGAACTTCCACAACACCAATCATAACACAGAAGAATCACAGCCATCTTGTTCCTTCTTTTCCCACTGCCATCATCTAGGTCCGGGCTGGAGAAAGCAGGTATTTGTTTTCTCTGGTTTAAAGATGCTCCACTTCCAGAACATAATGGTTAGCTGGAGGCAATTAAGTCCATATCAAGCTTTTCTAAGTACGGATTAGCCTGGGATCAGTTGTGGAATAAAAAAGCATCTCTTACAGATATGTATGCACTTCCTACTTTCCTCACATTAGATGCAATCAAGGACTGCAATTAAAGGACAGATGCAATTAAAGGACAGATGCTGAGAAAATCTTTATGAAGTATCAAATGCTCAAAAAAGAAGAAAAAAAGTCAATATTCAGCATCATTTTGCACCACTGCAGAGTTCTTGTATAGCGCCGGTAAGGTGCATTCCTGTCACACCTGCAAACACTGGATAGTTCCACACTTCAGATGTCAGCAGTTTTTAAACAACCATTCTGTTGAACAAATATTTGTTATTCATTCTAGGACTCTCAAACAAAATTCTGTACATATATCAGCACTGCAACCCAAAGATTAGCTGCTCTCTTTCTATACACACTTGAGGTCTATCTAAAATAGTTCATCTATAAACAAAGAGCATTAAACTACAGATAGTATGGGAGTCACCTCAATGCAGGTGGGTCTGAGATATTGTTTGCTGAGCCCAACACCATCACAACAGTTTTGCTATTTGAATTGAATTCAAGTAGCTTTCACCTACAAACTAAATGGAATCTAGAATTAAAAGCTGTAATCAGACCTCTAGGTCACTGGGTACGTATGATTATGAGTGCCATTTCATTTCTTGTTATTTCTTGTGATGCTGTGGTCTATTCATTCTACTTCTTCATTAACTCCACGAAAATCTTTTTTTCTGAACATGTTTTATTTCAGGCTAAAAGCCTTAAGTCTGAACAAGTCATTTGTTAGCAATGAGTTACCAACTTTTCTAAGATTATTTCAAATAATCTTTAACAGGCTCTAACAAACAAAAAAAGTATATGTCTGTTTCATACAGATTATTAATAATTTTTAAGAGTCGCTGGCTTAGAACTGAAAACAATATCATCTCCGCACTTTCTTTTTTTTCCTGAACTTCAAGCTGACACCTGAAGAAAACTCCAGTCACTAGCCAAAGTCAGATCAGAACCATTACCAATGATTTTCCCAGCCAAACGTGTGATTAATGAAAAGAAAAAAAAAAAAAAAAGTTTGAGTGAACAGAAGGTGGTACTCAAGATCTGTGAAGTCAGGAGTATTCACTTTTAATGTAAACATAACTCCATGTTAGCATACTACAGCATAATTTGTAAATCCTTTCCAGGCTTCAGAATTGTTTCAATGTCCAAACATTTCAAATACAACTCTACAATTGGAAAGCCTCATTTGATTGGCTCTGCTGTCTTGTAAGTTGTACATAATTAGAGAGGAAAAAAAAAAAGAAGTACACAACTTGTATTTGGTCAAAGAGAACCAACGAATGTAAAAACATTCTCCTTTAACAAGCTGAAATAGGAAAAGCATGCAGTAACACTGCTACATGCATCCTGCTGACACTCTATCAGGAATTTCAAGCTAGCATCATTCAGTAGAGGGGTAAAGGCTCTGCAAGATCATGCACGAACACCATATTTCTTCCACTCAACAGCCTTGTTCTGTTTGTCCAAAAACTGAGGCTTTATATTAAAAATAACATACTAGCCACCCCTTCCTATTTTCTTCCTACCAGACAACAATACCAAGGCATTGCCACCCAGTTATATTTTTCCAAGAAAAAAACAGAGCCAAAGTTTAGGTCTCCAGACAGCTCAACTGAAAAAAAGCACCCTCATGACAGTTATTTAGAATTCTTTTGCTCCGAATCATCAACCATCACGTAACCAATCTGCCATAGCAGGTGGTGGACAAATTCTGTAGTGTCAGACATAAAGAACCAGGCAAGCAAGAGGCTCTTCTAATTGCACAGTATTAGTACAGGCAAGTCTCTTTCAGCTTTAATATGCAATAAATTACAGCTGTGCATCTCCTTTTTTTTTTTTTTTTTTTTTTTTTTTTTTTGGCAAGGCTAGGCTTTCAAACCAGCTGAGCTGTCCAGAGCAGCAGAAGATGATGAGAAAACTTCAAATTAATGTTGGCTTGCTCCCACAACCATGGTGATCTCATTTTTGTTAGGAATGCAGGAAGAATGTAATACAAGAGCAGCAGCTAACTTCATGTGATCACACACATGGAATGTGTTATACCACAAAATGGCTAGCAAACCTAGAACAATCCTGAAAATTTCTGGGGGGGGAAAAAAAAAAAGATAACACAAAAAAAAACCCATACAAGGTAACTGCTACTAAGATCAGCATATCAAATATACTTGGGAAGAAGTACAGACATCAACATGCAAATTAAGCTTTCTTCTAGACCTGGCCTTATTAAGCCATGTTATCAACAGCTGTTATGTTCTAAGCTGTTCAAAACCCCCAGTTACAAAAGGAGAAAAAAAAAAAAATCAGAAGGAGGGAGTGGGGGGTAGGAAGAAAGAGAGTGAGAGATAGAGAATATCTAGGAATGGAGACTATCACCAGTTTACACAGTCTTCCAGAATTCCTCAGGCTGTTGCATTACCTAATTTGAACTTACACGCTATTTTCTGCTTATGTTCTACATGCCTTCAGAGGACACTACTCACATTCAAATGAACAGTTATAAATTTAAAAATAACACAGTGTCAGCTGGATAGATGAAAACTCTCCATGAAACCCTATTTTCTTCTGTTTCCAGGATATTTCTGTTTATTGAAAAGGATTCTAAAGATGTCATAAAGAAGCAGTTTACCCAAGTTTATATTTACAGCCTAAAAGCAACACATGAAAATATCGAATGATCTGTGTTAGCATTAGGGAAACATTTACCTATTCTGCAGTTGAAGTAACATCAAGAAACTGCTTCTAGAAAGCCAAAATGTTGTGGTATCACAAGAAAAGCTTCCTCTTGATACTACATGGAGTTGTCCTACAGTCATATGAAAAACTCAAATGCCTCCTGTAATCTGATTTAGCAAGACAGTGTTAAATATTAAGGCCTGGGAACAGCCACATTGCTCCAGTTCATACTCATGATGGCCAAGGGTGGAGTGTGGTGAGTCACATGTGTCCCAGCAGTGACAGCAATTACACAACCCCTGCTCTGTGGGATGGAACAGCCTCTGAAGAGTGACGCAAAGAAAATCCCACGCTGAATTTACAGAAAGTGGCAGCAAAAAGCATTATTTTTATTTCTTTCAGTCATTGTTACAAACAAAGAAATCTCTCCAATTCTACTTATGCACTACATTTTTAGCAAAAATATTTCTCTTCTACTACCTAAACACTAACTAATTGGATAGCCACAGAAAACAGGGCATTCCATTCATTAAGGAAATTTAAAAAACAACACTGACTCAATAAACATTTTTATTCTAACTAGTAAAACAAGAGTGGTTCAAAACAGGTGGAGCAAAAAGGAGCCCTCATATGATAAAACCAAAGAGGTGGGGCACAGCAAATGGTTCAGCATTTGTTGCCATAGTATTACTCTAATGCCTTCAAAAGTTCACACCCCAAAAGATTAACAACTGCACTTTTCATGTGAAGCAACATACATGCACTTTGTATCAAAATCAGTTCTAATGTCTCACTTCCTTGCTCATGCCATAACTACTTTTTTTTATAGATACATTTAAACACAGTATCTATCCAGTCTTAACATCTGCGTTTAAAATCATAGAATCATTAAGGTTGGGAAAGACCACAAAGATCATCTAGTCCAATGTAAAATCTGAAGTGACTTGCTTTTTTAAAAATGCTAGTTGTTATTTGATTAATCTTTGTCCATTTGATTGACCTACTGGCCTGAACACAAGTAGTTCTGATGTTCAACAAAACTGTGCTTTATTTCAGTACACAAAAAGAAGATGAAAGAAGCTACAGAGGGGCATTCCTTCAGCTTCAGACTGGGTCATCTCTTTCTTACCGACCTGGTTTGAAATGGGTAGACCTGACTGTCTTAAATAGCAACAGGGGTCTCATCAGGAAATCTTGATATATATTTGACATTTAACTTGCCACAGAGATTCCACCAAAAAAAAAAATCTCTCTTCTATGTACAATTTCTCTCAATTTTCAGAGTGTTTTTCTGCTACTGAAGCAAAAATATATATTCAGCTCTCACACTTCAGATTCCATTCTTTAATTGGCCTTTGCAGTTCATAAAATTTCACCAGAGGAAGAGAGGGGAGTGGGATGGGCAGTCTCATGCTAAAAAGAAAGATGACTTGAAATGAGATGAAAAGAAATTCTACGTGCAGAGGTAGCAAGCACAAATGAATAAGGGAGTCAATGGGATTTTCTTCAGAGATAGACTATCAGTTTAGAAAATCTTTCCCTGAAAATATCTCTCCAGGATCATCACCAGTTATAACCATCATGAAGTTTACAGCATTTATTTTCTCATATAATATTAACACAATATAATTCCACTACTTCTCTTGTAAAGCTATATTTTCACGATGATACTTTCTCTTACAGTACAATGCATCTTGGTTTTTTTTTGCATATAATAATTTTTTAATGAAAGGTTAAGTGAGCAGCTTAATGACTTACGCTAAGAGAAATGTCCACAACAAAAAGAAATGAAGCAAATATAAAAACCTGTTCAGCCAGCAATTGATTGAAAATTTGCTATACACATCCAGTAAACTTTATTTACAAAGGCATCAACTGTAACTGGATACTCTGTAGAAAATCCATACATTCGTGTGATTTACCTGCATCCCCAAAAGCTAAACCTTTAACACGCTCTTTTCTTGTACTAGTTCAAGTCAGAAAAAAAGTGTCCATCTGCAGTCAAATGTAAAGCTTATTTTACAACAGTTATACAATTGGTTTTGTCACAACTACAGGTAGATGCAAAGCATACTGAAATCCAATTGATCTGTATTTCCCATTAGAAGTGATTCATTCATCTTAGGTATCTACAGAATGACACAGAAGAAAGTGAAAAGCTGAGGTGCAGATTGATTGGCTATATCTTCCCTTATGACTATGGCTATCACTTATTTCTTCTCTTTGCATGTACACTAAGATAAGAAATAAAAAACTTAGCATAATGCAGTGCTCTGCAGTGCCCACTAAGCTGAACAGAACATGACTCTGCCATTGAGAATGCAGCACTTCTGTGCTTTCAATGATACTCTACTACCTTAACTAAGAGCAGCTATTAAGTACCAGCTGTAGCAAGCATAGCTACCTAGGAGTCATGACCAACTTATATTTACAGCGTAATTCACACCACGCTCTGCATCAAGTTTTGCATGGCACAGAATTGTCAGAGATTTTCCATACCTTATTGTTGTTCCCTGTAATCGATCAATCTTCTTATTTAATTCAGCAATGATACTGTGCAGCTCTGTGATTCGCTCCTCATAGCGTAGCGTTGTCTGCTCCTGCACATCTTCGTGCTCTCTCATTAGGTGGGATTGCTCACACTGAATCAGAGAAGCAAAAAACGGAATGCGTCTTACAAACAGCTCCACAGAGAACAGATACAAAGAGAAGATGACCCCTTTACGAGGTCTTCATACCCATCAGATCAAAACTACAAGAAAGAAAGCACAGAAGTAAAATATGACAACTACAAAGAGGAAGTAACTAGCAAATTTTTAGAAACTTTGAAAATCTACTTTAAGACCGTATGACTGAAAGAATGTGTGAGATTTGTGATGCATATAAAGTCTTCAGGACTTTCTCAGCACTGTCTGAATTTGAATAGGTCATAAGGTACAAATCACACTGTTACAAAGAAGAGTAACCATGCTTCAGGGTTGTAACTTCCTTTCCAGTATTTGTTTTTATTAGTCTTTTGTAATACTGCACATTTTCCTTTTCAAATCCTCTATTATAAAATGTGTACTATTTCAACAATTAAGTGGCTATACTTCTGACAGTTATTGTAAAAGTATCATGAAATCCCACTTTTTCTTTCTGACCGAGTACTACTTCCAGCCTCTCTGGCTCACTCTTCACACCAGCAGATGCTCTACTGGAATTACAGCCTCTCAACAGCACATGTTGATTAAAGTTTTGCTTTGTAGTAGCTGGAAAGTGCAAGACTTCTAACCTTTTGCTTTGGACCTTCCACATGAAACAGTCAAGCTTCCCTGAAACTACAGAAAATTATATGCTATACTTGGAACAAGAAAAATCTCACAAACTGATAGTATTAAAAAACAAAAAACCAAAACAATTTAATAGAAAAGGTGAAACATAAGATTCCAATAGCAATTCTAATGGCTACAATTCATAACAATGTATGAAGTCCCCAAATCTAATTTTTTCAAATCATGTACATGATCTATATGAAGGTAATTCCTTCAACTCTTTCATAAATACAAAACTTATGCCCATACTAACAGGCACGCCAGAATTTTTACAGTTTGCTCTTACATTTTTTGGGCTGTTCACATTAGAGTTTGAGAATACTTACACAAAACACTACTTCAAAATTACAATTTATGCTGAGCTTCAATAACATTTTTATCTTACAGTTGTTAGTAGAATTTATCTCAGTGCTTTTTGACTTTCAGGAATGTGTACACTGCAAGACAATAGCTCAGAAGTTTACAGAACCTTTCCACGGACTAAATAAAACGGTAGTTCCTTCCTCAAACTGGAGTCAAAAGCGATTTCAGCTACATTGAGACAAAGCAAATACACCCTACTACTGGAGAGTACAGCAATTAGTCAAATTTTAGAAGACAGGAAGTGTTCAACTGGCTTTTAAAACTTTCTGTTCAAATAAGTGGCTAACTATATATATTATAATGAGTGTTGCAGGATCACTTAGGAACTCGTTACTATTATTTCTGAACACTACCATTTATCTAGCTGAAGTACTAGCACTGCTTTAAAAGTGCGGAAGTAACAGGAAAAAAAAAGTACTTAACATAAATATTTAAGTACAATATGGAGTTTTTTTCCTTTATAATTCCAAATTTCCTCTGGTACACATTGATATCCAAAGAATTAACAGTTAAGTGCTTTCCAAAACAGTGAATTTTGTGCACTGTTTTTTCAGTTTTAAACCAAAGGATGCTTCAGATGGAGCGTGCAGTAATTATTTTCAGACAGTAAATAAAATGCTTATCTCAACAATTTTTATCTTTCTAAGCTCTGAACTGAAGAGCAGAATTTGTTTATCTTGAACAAAGATATACAGACCCTCGATAATGGACCTCAGCCACATTACCACAGTTGTCTTCTGTTTTTTCTAGTCATCTAACAGCCACCATTTTCAAGGACAATCATAATTTAGCGATAGACACACACTGTGAGCCATAGCAGTCTAGCTATATGATGGCAGTTAAGTTTGACTTTTTTAAAAGGGCTCTTGGATTATCTTGGGTGAAAGTGATTTCACAAGGCAGCAAGAAACCTTGGGTAGGCAGGACCTGATGCTAAGAAGGAACACTGAAATTTAGAGGACGATTCAGGGTCTAGAAATTCTAGTCAGTCATGACAAGTCTCAACTGAAAAATACAAAAGTATTTACACAGTGAAAATACAACTTAATATGAATCCCAAAATGCAGCAATGTAAAATTCTGCTTATACAGACTACTCTTTGTTATTGCACATCTACCTCAAAACTTGAAAAATGCATCTCTTGGTACCCACTGCTAAGCAGTTTTGATATTCAGCCTGTTCATCACTGTCTTTATTTTTCCTGTCCTTTGAGTCTCAGAACAATGACCTGCCCTCAGTTCCTATCTTTTTAAACTATGATTTATTTGCATTTCAGTCACAAGCTTTTGAAGATAAATACCTTAAACTCTTCTTCCTCATCCCCTCTTCCTGCCTAGTACTTAAGTTCTCATCAAAACATTAAGGGCTGTAATTCTCTGAAAAAGCAAATACAGGGATAATCCACTGAGAGACTGCAAAAGACAAGTGATTACAGAGGTCAGGAGAAAAGTTTCTCGCAGTTTTCTACGCAAGCGACCCTTGGCTGATTTTTTGTACAGATCTGAAAGGTTATTTCGATTACAGAATAAATGAACAATGCCTGGAAACACCCTTTTCCGACCTCCTGATGCTAGGAAACAACTATCAGAGGGGGAAAAAAAAAAAAAAAAAAAAAAGTACGAAGAAGGAGGATGTTAAGGGAAAGTATTTTAATCCAAATATATTGTTGCAACATGTGATGTTACTGACTGTGATGTACACAAATTCCAAACTCAAGAGACAAGAACAGTGCAGATTCTGTGTTAAATTTGAAGTGTTCAGGAAAAAACAAAAAACCACCAGCAGCAGTGCTAGGCTAACAGATTTCTCAGTTCCTCAAGACCTGCAGAGCTGCAAACACTGTCTATGGCATTATTCAGGGAAACCACAATTCATCAACTGTGTTAGACACAACATTAGAATCTGTTGAACAAGTAATTGAGCATAATGAAAATTAATTAATATCGTACATTCAGTGTTCACTTGATGTGTAAAAAGATATAAGTGAACAGGGCTAGTCCATGTGAAATAAAGACATCACACAACAGAACTAAACTTCAGTGCTGATCTGTTGACTCTGTTCACCTGAGCATCTCTACTTCAATTAACTTTCTTAAACGAGAAACTGAAATCTCCCATGAAGTGCAAATGTTCTTATATGCCAAGTAATGTTGGTTATACTTTTATACTGAAATTCTGCTGTCCCTCCCTCTATTCTGAATAACTGAAAGGATGGCAAGAATTTATAAATGCAGTAATGGAACATATTGACAAAGGAATCAGAATGTTGCAGCGCAGTATTTGTTTCTCCACGCCTACAGTTCTTACAAAATTCCATAATTACCTGGACTAAGTATAAAGACAGAAGAGAACAGAACTACCTTGTGAAAGGTGATGAAAAGATAAGATGTAGAAAGTAAACTGTCTACTCTTGATATATTCGCTGAAACTTTCAGCGTGTTACTAATTCCATGCTTCTGTGTAGCTTAACCACAGTAGATAGCTAAACACCACAAACTTTCCTTCCTTTTACTCCCAGGAGGAGTGGAGAAAAGCATAAGCAAGAAAACTTGTGGATCACATTAAAAACTGTTTAGTAAGTGAAAGAGAAGTGAAAGAAGAGAAAAGACAATAAAACCAAACACATGTGAAGTCAGTCACCCACCACCTCCCATGGGCAAACTGCTGCTCACCCAGCTGCCAACAAAATGGCAGCTTACCTCCCTCTGATTCCCCTACCTGTACAGTGCTGAGAACAGCAATACTCAGCATAAAATGTCTCCCTGTCCAGTTTGGGTCATCTGCCTAGATGTGTCCTCTCCTGGCCTCCTGCACATCACCATCTACTCACTGAGTGGGCAGAGACAGAAGAGTCCTTGGCTCTGTGCAAGTACTACTCAGTATCAGCTCAGACACTGCAGTGCTATCTGCACTGTGCTGGATGCAGATCTAAACACAGCACTACTGTTATTTGTGCTTTCCCTTCAGACATTTATTATTTATTATTATTAGAGCCAGGATACCTAACCATAGAGGATTAGTAAAAAGCACTACTTTTATTCTCACAACCAAAACAAGATTCTGGAAGACCACATCAGATGTAACTGACCACTACTTTACAGTAACTTTCATTCATAAGGTCAGTTCAGTGCCAAATTTTACACTCATACAAACACACAAGGAGATCTGATGTCTTATAGAAATAATACTAGCATGTACACAAATGCTTTAACAGGGACTCTACAGGTTGGACTTCTGGAAACGAACTCTACCATAACACAACAATCAGCAATCGGTTACATCCTTCTATAAAAATCTTATCAAGCTGAGCTACCCAACTATCTGTCAGCTCCCCAAATCACTTTTCTTCACCAAATACCTTCTTCCAAAGTTTTATACGCTTCATGAAATGATAGGAAAGGTGTTACCAAAAATGTGGTCAAAGGAATGCTTTTTTTCCAGAGAGCATATAGTGTGCCAGCAAAAAAAAAAAAAAAAAAAAAAAAAAGCATGTGCTGCTTTTGTAAGTATAGTCAAAAATGAGATTTAATGCTGATCCACTAGCATCTGAAAACGGTTATGCAGAACCTCAAACACTTCTTATTTAATGTATGCCTTCTGAAACTCTAATTCATATTAGTGAGGAAGAAATGCATTAGCCAGATGCTGTCAGAGAAAAATGACATATGTAATGTGATATGCATTTGGATAAATCTCTGTAGATTGGGAGGAAAAGTTAAAAAAAAATAAAAATGCTATGTGGAACATCTGCTTGAAAAAGAAAGCAATGCAGTCAGAGTAAGAAGAAAAGGGAAGGCAAAGTCATCAGAATCTGTTTCAGCATTTGAATGTAACTAACTAATTGAATATATAAGCTGTGCATCTTTTTAGACTTTAAAAAAAGAGTATTAAAATGTTTAAAAACGAGTGTCTAAAAAATGATCATTTTAGACTTTCCTTTACACCTCAGAAAGTTTCCATTCACCTGGGGGGGCTTTTAGAAAAAAAACTTTCATAATATTAAGACTACATAGAAATTGTTAATTAGAAAGTATTTTTTTTTCCAAAAAACAATTGCACCAAAGCTTCTCATCAGCCACAACTATAGCATTAAGCCAGAAACGTACATTACACAAACAATCACCTCAGTACAACTAGTGAGACTCGGTCAGTCTCTTCCCCCGAAGTTTCTCTGCTCCTATTAAAATTCCTCTTCAGTCCCACACCCACAGCTTTATAGTTTTTCTTTAGAATATGCACACTGGAGTGTTTATTTCAGCGTGGAGAAATGTATAGCAGAAGCACATTAGGCTTCAGATATTCCAAAAGAACAGATATTCTGATTTTATGTTATTCATAGTTCAGGCAACGGTCATCACTATGGTTCTGTTTACAACTACAAAGCCCAAGATCACGGAAAAAAACCACCAATATGAGAAAACCAGCACTGTATGCATGCACACCTGGTAACCAATTAAAACAAAAAAAAAAGAAAAACATCATGCTAACAGAGCACAGTCATCATCAGTGGGGATATATCATTGTATGAGAGCATGTACAAGGTACTCTTCATTGGCTGAGATATGACATGTATTTTTTAATAAAGACCAGGAAATAAACGTAGAATACTAACAAAAAAATCTGTATTTATCACAGTAAAATCACTCGGAAGAGTTAAAAATAACAACCACAACAACATAATCACACAGAATCATAAAGACTTTTTGGGTATAGTGGACAGTTTAATGATTGCCAAATGCAGCCAAACATCAAGCTGTACCTCAGAAAGAGGACCTGCCTTCAGAGAGCACTGTAAGTTCAAAAATGATCTCAGGATTATAGCTATAAATAATGTGTGTGTCTCTGGCTCACAGATCAAAGGGAATGAAAGGGACAATGTTTTTACTCCACTATGCTGCATTGATGGGCTGGAATAAGACTATTGTTTACAAACCTCAAAATAGCTGAAAAAATACAAAAGAATGTTAGAAGGACTGAAGTAAAAGCCTTAAAATGTAGATTATTTAAATATTTCTACATCTGGCTTGAGTTTAAATAATACACAGTTAGACACCTCTATCAAAATGCCCTGATAACCAAAGACTGTAAACTCGCAGAATTGCAGAATAGCTGGGCTTGATCTCTTGAGGTCAATTCTTTAACCCTATCCACTGAAGGAAGGTAACTTATAGCAGAACAGGTCCAGATGGCTTTTAAGTACTTTCAAAGATGAAGATTCCGCAACGTATCTGGATAACACATAAGATGTGATATTTTACAAGACAAAATGCTTTGTCTGGCTCTCTGAAGGTGTAAATTAATACATACTTTGCAGTTGTTTTAAATGGCAAAGTACTTATAAAAGGTAATTGCCAGAGTAACAGTACTTGAAAACAGAAGTTTTGTTCATAGGAGAAATATTAGATACAATAGTTATTTCCCTGTGTGCATTTGACTCTCTACATATATCTTGATCTGAAAAACAAACCATTAAGAGCCAAGAAAGCATCAAAGCTCACTTAATCCTTTGGCTTTCCACTGACTGTGTTTTCTATAACAGAGATACATAAACTGGCTTACTAGAGGCGAGACTGAGATCACTAATCATTTCTCGCATTAACGTTGAAGTGCTGAGGATTGGTAATCGATTTTCATCAGTGTTAATTTGTGCTGTGTGAATCTCACTCAAGACTAAAAGACTCTGATCAGCTACCTAATCCACTGATCATTACAGTTTTTATTTTCTAAAGTAATTTAAAGTGTTCACTATTAAAAGAGGCTGTTGGCTTCAAACAAAATCAATCCAATTATTTCTTGGTACTTCAAAAAAAAGAATATTATCAGCATGTAAAAGTTAAAACCCTTGGCAATCATGCTTTGTACAGTATTACAATTCTTTTCACTCACGACACTGTTAAGAACTTTCATCCTTTCTCCACACATCATACACCTCTCCGAAGAACAAGGACAATAGAAAACCACTGACCATCTTCAGAATTTTAACTGTTGCTCACCTGTGCTTTTGCCAGTTTCTTCTCCAACAGGTCACGTTCTCTTTCTGTTTGTTGCAGACGTTTATTAAGCTCCACAATGTCTCCCTTTAATGATGCCAGGGCTGCTAAATGAAGCTGGAAGACAAAGGATAGAGAAAAAAATTAATCTAGTAACAAGCATTATAGCAGAAGAATTTGAAAGAAGATACGATATTATACAGTAGTCACAACATCTTTGGATTTCTGAGTAGTTAACAGGAGCTTTAGAATAATGGTAGTCAAAAAGTAGTTCACATACTTCAACACCTTTTTATCACTGAACTGTCTTCTTCAGAAAATCCACCTGCTCCTTCAGAAAAACATTATAAGAACAAGTGTAATGAAAAGTAATACAACTGCTTATGTGTGCATAAATCCCAATATTAACTTAAAAGCAATCAGCTCAAGCATTGTTTTGTAACACTTTACATTAGATGTCAGCTCAGATTTGTGTTATAAAAGGTGTGTCATGTTTTGATGCATTCAGAGATAAAGGTTATCAGTGTAGTGAATAACTCCATGCATAGGACTCAATTTTATTTTGCAACTACTGCCTACTCCATTTTGAACTGCTTTACTGTTATTTTTTTCTATTTCATATCAGTGAGCTTCAATGCTTCTAACTTACGAAGCTACACCCTGAGAATGTGAACTGTTATTCTCTCTGCAAGATATTATTTTGATGGAAGATACCTATCTGTGCTAATACCTGTGCTGCTGTGATAGAGACACCAAGGGAACAGCATGGAGCAGCATCATGGGAGAGTCAGGCGGGTGACAGTCAAAGGTTATTTAGCAGAGAGTGATGGGCATGGAACAGCTCCCCAGGGCAGTTTAGGCACAGCTCGAAGTTTGAAGTTTGGAGAGCATTCTGACAATGTTTTCTCAGACACAGAGTCTGAATTTAGGGTGGTGCTGTGTAGAGACAGGGGTTGGACTCAATCATCCCTGAAAGTCTCTTCCAATTTGGGATATTCTACGATTCTGTGTTTAGTAAGAAGCATCACTTATCCATGTCTGCAGTGACCATGGTGGACTGATTCTATGATTTTGTGACTCTGTATTTAACCAATCACATATGGAAACACAGATAGGATAAACAACATAATTGAGTTACCCTAGCTACATAACTTAGAAACCAAGAATAAATCTTCTAAAAAAAATCCAAACTTAGAACTCATTTACAGTCTCTTGTTTTCCTCGGTATCCCTTTCATACTACAGCATAGGTAGCAAGTAGAATTCAGTGATTCATACTGACATGTACAACAGAAAATTCCATGAGGAAACTAGCCAGTATTACTGAAGTCATTCTTTGTAGTAGTACAGAAGCAACTCCTCAGTTATACTGGATATGAAAACTACAAAGATCCTTCACACTGGCCCAAGTAACCTGGCAAATGTTTCTCTGCTGCCAGAACTTGGGCTGAAACACAAACAGTGCTGCTAGATTTTCAGTCACTTTCAGGTTTTCATGTAGTCTGACATTTTACAGTTACATAATTTTTCTTCTTCCATTTCTAGTCAATCAGCTAATGACTCCTATTCTGAAATCTGCCTTTACAATAGCAAAAAACAATAAAATCACATATTTTCATGTACTGAAATGTGAAAGTAGTTGTAATACAGAAAGGAGACTAGATTCACTTAGAGACAACTTCATATACAATATTTCCAGTGTTACAGAAAAGGGTACTTCTGGCACAAGGACATGAAACTTCTCTGTACAAAGACTTCAGATGTAGGTTCTGCTGTTGAGATTGCAGAATAACTATGTGACTAGATGCACTGGACATCTTTATTTGTCAACTATCTAAAATATTTTTATTACAACAGCCACAAAACATTTTGCATGCTGTTACTTATTTCAGCGTAATACATACATATACGCAATTTTATGCCATAGTATGCTTAAGGTTCTTAAGGCAGACTCATTTTCCAAGTGAAAAAAAGAGTAGTTCAAGCCTACTATGTATCTTCTTTCAAATATGCTGTGCTGAAATATCTTAATAAGCTCAGAAACTCCCTGAATCTTACAAGTATTCTTGGCCTTTGGAGTAAGGCCATCCTTCCTACCACAGGAAACAATGCACTGCTTTTACAGAGAGGAGAAACAAGAACCAGCCAAAGTGTACCAATCTGTTCACAACTGACTTGTAATTTTCAGGAAAGATGGTAAATTTAAAAGTCAATATTTTACCATTTTCCCTTAACAGAGAAGAAATGTTGTAATGAAGCCCACTAGTTTATACATCAAATCTTGCATCCTTTATCACAGCTTTTAAATCATACATGAAAAAAATGGCTACAATTCTCTAAATTGAATAAAATAATGGTATGTAGTCAAATAAGGATAATTCCCTTTTATACACCATTATTAGATGATTTCCAGCTATGGTTTTAATTAAATACCAGACTTACAATGTTCATACGCATGGAGCCATAATATAAAAATGACATCATCAACTTAAAAATTTCAATGAAAAATTACTCATTTACTAAGCAGTAGAACTAATGAAGCTGACTTCCTATGGATCTGCTTTTGTTCACTTCACACACCAGGATCAGCTCAGCTCTTCTTCGTGGCCCGTGCCAAACCAGGTAAGGACCAGCAGAAATTCTATCTAGCTTAATACAACACTGCTGCCTGGCCTGGACTGATAGCCCCTGCCACACAAGGGTATCCAGCAGGCAGGATGTATTTGCGTCTTCATTCAAAGCAACAAAAGAATTGCTTTACTAATTACAGAGAAATTTTTTTGCTATCCAAAATGATCCTTTCCTAACTTGATCCTGGTCAGCTTCTGTGTACTTAGAGGAGGAAAAAAAAAAAAAAAAAAAAAAAAGGAAGAAACCCGGAGAAATCAGTGTAACAGAAATGGCAAACCAGCCAATGTGGAGTCACTACACAGAGAGAAAGGCTGCTTCTGACACTCCTCAGCTGCAGCACACCCAGTATACACAGCAGTAAACAGTATGTAAGTGGTGTCTCCAGCTACTGCTATGATAAAAAATAAGGTTAGCAAATTGGTTTATCTGTCTGCTCTGGGCAGTACCAGAACCTCCTCTGCAATTCCTGAGAAGAGCTGTTAGGAAGTATTGTTGCATCCTTCCTTGAGCCATGAATGTTCCCACAGCCTATGTTCTCCTCACATTCCTATAATAAGCAAAAGGGGGGACACTGACATGCAGATCTTCTACACTGCTGTAACACAAACAGGGAAACATCTGAACAAAGATCTACTGAAAACAACCAAAAAAATACCCCCGAGACCCTGGAGTGGAAAAAAAGTCCTGTTTCAGTGGTCCTGAATTATTTCAGAATATGAGACCGGAGAAAGAGAGAACTGAAATTGCAATGTGGCACACAGCCCATTTTTCCCTTTCAGCAAACAATGACAGGCCAGGCAGAGTGGCTATCACCAGCACTAATGTCAGATGTTTATAGCTCACAGTGGGCTGCCCCTTAGTAGGCACAGAACACAAAACAAAAACTTCGTCGTTTGTAACAATTAGTTAGATACCACATGGAGTACTCTTTGTACAACATACCAGTCTGAACTTTTCAAACAGGATGAGCACCGTGGAAAACAGTTCACAGCCAACGTCCTGAACAGATTATAAAGTGGATCTCATGATCCAACACAGAAAGAAATAAACTCTCACAAAAAAACCACTACGTGACGACAATGAGTCTAGACTGTCCAACAGGACAAGAAGGTCAACACATGTGAAAGCAATGACCTAAAAGGAATCAAATAGGCAAAAACCTATTTATCTACCACAAGCAAATGAAATGAAGAATTCTTTCAGCCAAGAAAATAGATGCACACCATTACTAAAAAAATGCAACAGCCATCTTACCTCAAAAGCTCTCGTTTCTACACAATTTTATGCAAGCACAAAAGCAGGCTGTTTACAGAAACGTATGAACCCTATTTTATATCCACTACAGTCTTGCCTGTTTATTACAATATATGCATCGGTGTACTTGTTTTTATGTAAACATGTAAGAAGTGCATTGAATTGTGAACATCACCCTCCAGACATGCAATTTCTAAAAGATTCTGGTCAGAGAATACTGGACTCTGGCACCCTCCCCTCTATTTCCATTTATACTTTGTGTGGTTTAGTGCAAAGTTTTGCTACAACGCATTCAGTGGCGTTCTGTGCACACAAACGCCCCTGCTCACATGTTCATAATGCTGCCTGATCTCTGACAACCTACCATCCAATTTTTCTTCTCAAATGGCACGACACAGGATTTGAAAATTCCGGCTGCTCTGTAATGTGAGAGATGGGGAGTTTTTGGTACAGCTCACAAAGCTCAGTCAGAATCTCACTCAAAAGCTACAGATGGGGCAAAGCAAGTGCTTATGTATTGCATTTTCCGACACACATCATAAAGGTGATGAAATGAAACCTACCAGAATATACAATTACAGACAAGGAAATAAAAAAGTTGGTAACACGAGCTTGAAATGACAAGCATTCAGGCAGAAATACAAAACCTACTTTGATTTTGCATTCGGGACTTTCATCAAACAGCACAGATACAGCTCCACGTGCAAATAATACGCTTGCTTGAAGTGACTGTTCTCTGAAAAAAAAAATCTCGGTTCTAAACATTGGCTTCTTTTCTTCCTTTTCTTGCTCATGATCCATGAAATGTATATTTTTATGGTACAGCTGATGGGATAAATATAACTGAAGCCCATTTCTGCAGTGTATTGACAAGGTAAAATGGAAAAGTGTAAAGGACAACCATATCCCAGAAGCAGTGACAGGACAGCTCAATATTCCCTGGGCAATTTCAGCTGTGTGATCTCTAGAGCACAGCCCTGAAATATCACAGTCAACTGCCCTGTAACTGTAACCTACGGCAAACTCAAATGCTTAAAAAAGCAGCGTCACTGAACTGCTGGAGGTGACTGCCAACATGACCTGGAACTCTATGTTTCAAACAACTGCTACATGTTAATGAATTAAAAAATTCAATGACATACAAAATGGACATTGTGTGAGTCTCCCGCTGAAGCAATGCTCATCACATTAGGCACTATATAGTTCCATCGTACGATGGTGCAACATTAAACA